TTATTTCTGTCCAAGCAAGTATAGTTGGTGGGGACTGGCCAGTAATAATGCGTGGAGTCTTTTTAAACCAAGGGTAATTTTTAAATTTAAAAATAAAAAATTTAAGAGGTGACCCAATAACAAGTAACTGAGTTAGAAAATTAGGGAAGAGACTGTCCTGGTTTGTCTCTAAGGAGGCAAGATTAGGGTACTGGTGGCTGGGCATGTGGAGCGTGCTCTGTGATGGTTATTTCTTGCTCATTTACAGTGCTGGGGCACCTGGTCATCTGTGCATCTGCTTTCCCTGGGCAGTCCCGTCAGCCAGTTACTCCACCAGCTCTTAGGCAGTTTACAAGTAAATGCAGATTTCTTTTCTCTTTTTTTTTTTTTTTTTAAGATTTTTTACTACATCTTGTTTAAAGTCCCATGAATGTATGTGTGTGTTATTAAAAATGCTTTTTCTCAGTTTGACCATGTGTTCGGTAATATTTGTTTGGGAGTGGGGGACAGTTAAATATCTGGAATGTCCTGTTTCTTCCCTGCCCTGCCCCCTAGTTTTTAAACTGATTCTTTTTTCTTCTTGCTTTGGATTCTTCAGTCTGTTTTTTTGGTTTGATGTCACTTGTTTCTGGAATACATAAAGCTATAGTTGTACACAGTTCACTTTTACATAAACTACTTAAATAATGTGCTGCATAATTTGTGTCCAGCAGTTCAGTAATCTCATTCTTACATTACCTCATTCACTCGGATGATTCAACAACTATTGCGTACCTGCTGCATGCTAGGCACTCTTGAGGATTGGATTCAGTGATGAACAACACAAACAGATCTCTCATGAATCGCACCTTCTGTCATCCGGGTGCAAATACTGTTATTGGCCAAAGAGGACTAGAAAGAAATCCCTTTGGCCTGGCTCCCTTGTTCTAGAGCCTAGGTCAAGGAAAGGGGAAGCCATATGATGCAGAAGCAGGGCTCAGCACCACCTCTCACCCGCCAGGCAGATAAAGCTGTGCGTATGCCAGCTAAGGGGAGACACAAGTTGACAACTCACAGGAGAAACTATTATGAGCTCATAGAAGGGCTAGGCATGGTTGCCAGAGGCCTCAGGTTCCAGAACATGCCAGTATTTCCCCCTTCTACAGACTGCTTTGGAGAAGACCACTTGTGAGCATTTTTCTGACTGGGGTAGAGGGGCGGGGGAGTAACAGCCAGACAAAAGCAAAGATACTGCCTTAAGTACTGGGATGTTGGCAGTGTAGCCTTGTGCAAGTTCAGGGCCTTGACTTTGACCTTAGTCCTGACCTCACATCCCAGATTGACCAACCGTTTGATCTTTGGCAAGTTACTTAACCTGTCTGAACCTTAGTTTCTTCATCTATTGAAAGGAATAATGTATCTATCTCAGAGCTTATAAGGATTAAGGGAATAATGCATGAAAAGTACGTAGCAAGGTGCCTGGCATATATGCTAGGTATTATTTAGCTCTAATTTGAAGCTCTTCTCAGATGACAGTTAAAATTGAACTTAAGGAGGGTCACCTAGCTGGCTTGGTCAGCAGAACATGCTACTCGAGTTGTGAGTTTGAGCCCCATGTTGGATGTAGAGATTACTTAAAAAAATAAGTTGAATGAAGGCACTTGGTTCATTGACATCTAAGCAAACCATACCTTAAAATTGTAGTGTGGGTATGCGCTCTTCCTTCTGACAGCTCCAGAGCCTTCTCTGTCCAGCTCTGTTCTGCTGGTAAAAATAAATAAAAAATTTTAAAAATATATATATATGTGTATATATACACATGTATATATAAATGTATGGCTTTTTTAGGACTCAGCATGCCAAATCTGAGAAGGGGTGGTAGGTGGTGATTTTCCATCAGTTGTCGCCATATCCTGACACTCCCTTTTCCTTGCTAACCATTCCCCAGGCTGGAGTGCAAGAGAGGGCAAACCAGAAGGCCCAGCTTTGGGTCTGACTCCAAGACGACTGGCTGGGAGGAAAACTTAACAGGCAAAACAGGCTTCTGAGGCACAGTGGGACAGTGAGACTACAGCATTGGTGCCCTGGTGACAGTCCCTACTGAAGAAGGACCTCAGCTGTGTATTTGGCCCAAATAAAGATCACGCCACCTAAAGGGAGAGTGCTGGACAAACCAGAGGTGGAGATGGCAAAGCAGGAACTGAAATGCAACCACAGTGGACAGGAAGCAGGACAACCTGACTAGGCCAGAGTTCCTCAGGGAACCTCTGCTCAAGTTTCAGGAGTTCATACCGACCCCCTTCACCTAGGATCCCTGCTATACAGTGAGTAGCTGCTCTGTGCGAAGCCTGGAGCCAAACGCTGGTGTGTAGGTGGCAGAGAACAACAGGCATTTTCTGAAAGCGGAGTTGGGGAGAATAGCCTAGCAAAAACAAAACCACATTGTACGATCTGTGCTTGTGAAGTCATGCACCAGAAGCTTTTCAGATGGGATCCTCTCCTAGCCGCCCTGGGAAGCAGCCAGGGTAGTGACTTGAAGGCTGAGGAAAAACCTGCTCACAGAATGCCCTGCCTGTGTCCCAGGACACAAAGTCAGTGGCTAGGTTAGGATTCATTTCTTCCTTTGATTTTGAGTCTCTTCCACTGTCAGTATTCCCCTCATTCATATTTTATCAGCTTGATTTGCAGAGAAGAGCATTGTCGGGCTTTCTACAGAAAGTTCGTTTAATTGCCATCCCATCCGATCATTAGGTTCAGAGCCTCAAGTGGAGAACGGCAGAGAGAAATGGATTGTGATGTAAATCTCTATTATCAGGATCCTTCCGTAACTGCTCAGCTACAGCTCTGCAAGCGCCCTGTTGGGATTCCACATTGTCACTTACACATTTTGTTCATTTGAAACGTGTGAGGTTCTGAGTCTGCCTTCTGGGCACCTTTGAGGAGAAAGGCTTGCCTCACAGGGTGTAGGCGCGAGTGGGATGCTAAACCCGCCACCTGATCACTGCAGCTGCACAAGGACCTGAAGTGGGCACCATGAGTTCTATGAGAACAGGAGGAGCTCTGTCGTGTAGCCCACTGGGCCCCTGTGGTCCAATCTCCTGCCTGGTACTGCAGGGCTAGCCATCTTCCCGCCCTCCCTCCGCTGTCTCCCACTCCTGCCCCCAACCCACTTTCCCACAGGACTGCAGACTTATTTTTCTTAGCCATGTCTTTCCTGGACTTCCTTTCTCTATTAGGATTTTCTTCTGTGGTCTCTCCCAAACTATTTGCTGACTTTTCCCTTCTGTTTCCCACTAGCAACCTTCCCATCCCATCACATTAAATTCCCCTTTCTCTTTCATACCCCTTTCTGCCTTCTCCTCCAGTACACATCTGTGCACAAACTTGCACACTTATGCCTTTGATAATTCCCCTTCAGGTGTACCCCATTTCCCTCTTCTCAGGCTTTTCCAGAACTGATTATCCTCTCTATAAACAAGAAAGAATTTCAAGGCCAGCCACTTAACCTCTTAGAGCCTGTTTTCTCATCTATAAAATGGAGCTATGAATCCCTCAGGATAGAAAGGGGGTACAGTTTTTAAAATGAAGCTGGCTAGTCTAAGAGTGTGTGTACACTTTAACATAAGCATTTCTCCCAGCTACCGCCCCCTTCACATACACACATCCTATTTACAGAGTGCTGGGGGAGGCGGAAGTGTAGCGTGGGCCCTGCTGTCTAGCGATCTGCAGTCATACACGGCAGCCCAAACTACGAGACTATGATGAAGTGCCAAACTGAGCTGTGGGGAATTCAGGAAAGAGCGATGGCATGTCTTTCCCAGAGTCCTTTCCCAGAGTCCTTTTAGTTCAATAATGACAGAGCCATTTGAATCTTGTTCACCCTCCTTCAGGCCAGTGTGTATCTGCCTGTTCTCCTAACCCCTGCCTCGCCAGAGCTCTGACTCCTAGGCACATGCAAGAGTCAGTTATCTGTGTCCCTGTCGCCTTCCTCATTTTAGTCCTGGTCTTGGGCCTATTACAATACTGGAATGGATGAGGGAAGGGGGAGGATCAGGCCAGGTCATGGCTACAGCCCTGGTTTGATTCAAACCCTAGAGGGTTTGACAACCCGTGAGGCAAAGGTATAGTCTGAGTTGCTGGGAACCTGCAGCACAAAGTTTGCATGGGAGGACCATCCCGGATCTCCCCTGGTTGGGGAGTCGATTCTGAGGGGGGCTTCCTAGTTTTCTTATAGGTGAGGTGATTGAGCCACAGAGGGACAGGATATCTGATTGCCTATGAGGAGAGTTCACTGGAAGACCTGGAGTAAGAATGATGTTGAACATGAGCTGGAAGGAAAGGCAGTTACTGAGTGACCCAGTCCCTGAGGAGGTAAACCCCAGTTATTGTAAGGTTTGGTTGAGTGGACAAGCGCAAACCACTGTGGCTTACTTATTGGGAAAAACAGCATTGTCTCTGTGAACTTCTGGCCAAGCTGTTACTTCATCCCTCCAAGCCCGACTTACTCAGACTTAAAGCTGAAGGACCAAGCAGCTGGAGGCTCTTGAGCTGGGAATCCAGACCCCGTTCTGTGTTCAGAGTTGCCCCAATGCTTGGCCGCACGTACTGTGGCCCACTGCACCCTAGGCAGAGAGCAGAAGAGGGTGGCAGGAGCGCAAGAAGTGAGGTCCAGATTAGAGGACAGGTCAGAGGGCCTTCGGAAAGTTAAGCCCCCAGAGGAGAGGTTTGTAAGTCCCCAGCACTAGGTAAGTCAGAGGGGTCCTAGGGAGAGAGGAGAGGGAAGGTGGGCTTTAAGCCCATCGAGAGCTCATGGGATGATAAAGCCACCACTAGGGGGCCACGGCCCTAGGGGGCGGAGGACGCCAGATGCCCGGAGGCCGTGGGAGTCTCGGCCTCAAACCTTCTCTATTGTGTAAGGTGGGGGGCGCTAAAGAAGAGAGCGGCGCCCTTCCCTGCACCCCACCCAGTCGGCCCCGCCTCCCTGACCCCGCCTTCTAGCCCCCGCCCCACCCCCGGCTCCGCCTCCACCACCCCCCGCCCCGCCTCCGGCCGCGGCCCCTTCCTCCCGCAGCTGGTGCTGTGGGGCCGCGGAGCAGCGCATCGCAGTCTCTATGGCCCGGGATCCGAGCGCAAAGGTGAGAGGCAGGGAGTGCGGGCGGCAGTGGCGGGGCCTGGGGCGGGGGGCGCGGAGGGCAGGCCAGGCCTTCCCCATGTCCATTCCACCCTCCAGGCTGGGCCAGGCCTTTCTCGCCGGCAAGTCTCCCGGTCCCGCATAAAGGCTCTGGAGGGGCGCGGGCCAGGCCTCGGGCCGTGCTGGAAGCAGACCCGCCACCGCGGAGTCGGGGACCGGCGCGGGGCGGGGACCCGCGTGGCGAACAGTGTTCCCTGGGATCTGGGTCACGTCTCCTGGCGTCCAGCAGGATCGAAGGAGAGCTTGTCCTCGAGCTGCAGCAGTAGAGACTGAGATCAGATCTGAGGAGAGGGAAGACCTGCGGACTGTGCAGGGTGGTGGAAGGAGAGCGTAGCGGGGGAGGGGCTCTCAGGCCAGAAGAGACGGCCATCCTACTGGGCAGAGGGTAATGCCGCCTACACTAAGCAGGTGGACATCTGGGATGAAGGTCGAGAGCCTGCTGATCCCACATCGATCCTGTTTTGTGGGGAGGGGCTTCTCCCCTCCTCAATTTCTTCAGCCCTAGGATCTAATATTCGGAAGGTGACCAGAGTTCAGGGGACTGGACCTGGGGAGGAACCCAAACTGTGGTACTGGGGGTGGAGTGTGGGGTGTGGACTGGAGACCTTGAAGCCTTGTGGCCACTGGGGGAGGGAGGGCAGCAGCTCCGCCCCCTCGTTTAGCCCCGCCCGCCCTCCCAACAGGTTAAATAAATGGGGGCTGGGAGCCTCTGCCCAGCTCCCACATTTCGAACAGCGGTGTATACATCGGAGTAGAGCACCGCTAAGTTACACCATCCACTCCATCTTTCCTTTGCTAAAGCTAGGGGCCTCCTTCCACCTGGGTTAGGTACCCCTCCCCTCCTTTGCAGAGAGGCCCATCCCATCTGAGCATCGGAGGTCAGATGCCTCCCCACATCACTACACACACACTTGGAATCTGGCCTTAAAATTAGGACTTTCGGGAAGGGAGGGAAGCTCTGCACCTCAGTAGGCACCGATAGCCTCCAAGCCTGCAGTGAGATCTGGACCCCTGTTTGTACATATGCTTGTCTCTGCATACATGTAATACTGTGTTTAAGTACTGTGTGAACACACACTTACTCGACCCTTCTGTGAACATGAACATGCCTGATCCACTGTATTGGTGGGTTTATGTGCATGTCCCTACACAAATGTGTGTATGCGCTGGATCTTTCTGTGAATAGGTGTACAATCCTTCAGATGCACGTGTGTGGCTTTATAACCTTTCTTGTCAATCTCTGAGGCTGTGTGACCTGCTGAATGAGTGGATGTGAATACAACCTTATTTGTCAATGTGTGTGAACACATCTGGCAGGCTTTTACATGAACATATGCATGGACAAACCTCCCTGTGAATGTACGTTTGCATGACTCTCCTGTGAGTACACGTGTTCACAGCCCTGTGAACATGTGTGTATGTGCACCTATTGCGTGCGTGTCACACCTCTCTGGATTATGCGTGACTTTTGCCATGAGCCACAATCAGAGTGGTTCCTCTGACCTAGGGTGTGTTCCTCCTGCCCAATCCTAGGGCTGATACCTCGTAGCCATAGGGCTCTCCGCTGCCCCCCCCAACCTCCACCCCCTGCTTCCGCACTAAGCAAATAGGAGGCCCCAAAGATAAACAGGTGTGCCTCCACAGTGAGAGGCGGGGCATGGGCAGTTTGCCTGTGACTTCCTGCTGCCCAGCCCCCAAACGAGGAGCTGATGCCCTTTCTGTGGTCCAAGGACCCTCTTCTCTCCACTTATACTACATTCTACCCCCTGGGCTCTGACCTCTACAATGCTGACCTTTACCTCTTAAATAAATGCTCCAAATTTCTGTTCTCCTTCTGGCCAGTTCCTGGTCCTTCCCCTCTCTTCAAGGCCACATAGTTAATATTTGACCTGGAAAGGAGGGGAGAGGCCAGTGGCCCCTGTGGCCCTGTCTGTGGGTGTCTGATGAGACTGAGTGGGTCAGGCTTGCTTTACATCTGGCCTCGTCAAGGAAGCTTTCAAGAGCCAGCTCGGATGTCAGGCCTATTACAGGGGTCGCAGAAGGCCTGCCACCTACTTCTACCCCATCCCCAGCTGGTTGGCTTAAGGGTCCAGGTGTGGGAATAGTCTCCAAGCTGTGCCAGGAGAGGTGGCCCCCAGGGCCCAGAGACCAACACCCCCCCCCACCCGCCGCCATGTCTATGAGTGCCTGTTTGCAGGCAGGGGCACGTGTGGATGCCTGGCCAGCGGGTGCAGTATGGACTCGCATGGGCAGAGTAGAGATGTGCACCCTCTCGGAGAGGAATGCTGAGGAGGAGAAGCGTCTAATTAAAGAGAAATTCCAGAGGGAGTGCTCAGGCCAGGGAAAAGAAAAAACAAAGGGAAAACGGGACAAAATAAACAAAGGCCCATTAAATGTCTCTGCCCAAGCCTTCTGGAGTAAGGCACCCCCGCAGGCAGCCAGGGCAGCTGCTGCCCCAAGTTCGGACTCACTGTTGCTAAGAGAAGGCGTTCTCCCTGAAAACGGAGCTCCAGTCGAGATGGAGGCCTAGCTTAGCTTCTGACTTGATCAGAGGAGGACCATTACTTTGGGTTTGGGCTGGGAGGAATCTAGGGTCTTGTAAAGAGGGCAAGTTCCACCCAACTTTGCATCAGAGCAGAGAGGTAGACAGAGTGACAGTGAGGTGATCCTGACGTGGGATTCTGGGGGTCTTCGCCCACAGGTGCCCCCTGAAGTCTCGGGATGATGCCTTCTACCTTCTACCCACATACAGATCAAAGAGCTTTTTTTCCTGTTTTTTTCTTTAGAAAACGGACCTCAGAGAACCAGGACTAGTCCTTCTGTCGGGGCAGGGTGATCCCATCAGTGACCTACAACCCCTCTATGACCCTACAACAACTCCCTCCCACCATGGAGTTTGTATTTGATACAGAAAGGCAGTGTGTGATCCATCCCTCCCTCTGACCTCTAACCTGGGATTCCATGGCCACACAACCCTGTGATTCCATGTCCCCTCGATTCCAGGACCCTCCCTGGCCCCATGACCCCTGACCTTCCAAGTGACCTCTCTGGACCTTGACCCCTGTGACTGACCCCTGTGGCTCTGACCCTGGCTCGCCTTGGGGTTCTTACCAGTGTGGGCCTCCCCAGGAAAATGTGGGGGAGGCTCTGGCCCCTCTTCCTGAGCTTCCTCACAGCAACAGCCGTCCCTGGACCCTCATTGCGGAGACCATCCAGAGAACTAGATGCCACCCCGCGGATGACCATCCCCTATGAAGGTTAGACACCCCCCCCCAACCCGCTGCAACTTTGAAAGGCAGCTGGAGCCACGTCTGAGAGTAGAGAGGCAGCCCCAGAGCTGGGCTTACTGCTCCCACTCTCCCCAGAGCTCTCTAGGACCCGGCACTTCAAGGGTCAAGCTCAGAACTACTCAACACTGCTGCTGGAGGAGTCCTCTGCAAGACTGCTGGTTGGAGCCCGAGGTGCCCTGTTCTCTCTCAATGCCCGTGACATAGGAGATGGGGCGCACAAAGAGGTTAGCCCCTAGAACCTGGACCACCCAGAAGGTCTCCAACTTTATCCAGCTCCCTGGGACCTCAATTTCCTGGAAGCCCTGCCAGCCTTCCATAGCCCTCTGGTCAGATAGCACTGCTCTTCCCAAGCCAGGTCTCCTTTACCATCCAGGGTCACTCCTGAAACTTACCTGTACCCCAGTTTCCCCTGTTCCCTAGAGTCCTGTCACCTGGTCCCACAGATGATGGTGAAAGACGAGGGTACTGGGGTCAGCACATCAGCCCATTCCTTTTCCTGTCTCCAGATCCGCTGGGAGGCCTCCCCAGAGATGCAAAGCAAATGCCATCAGAAAGGGAAAAACAACCAGGTATGTGGTCTGCCCTGTCCCCAGTTCCTTCCTTCCTTCTTTCTCTTCATCTGGTCAGGGTTGGTGGGGATGCAAATGGAGAGGTACAGATCAGCCAGGCAGTCTCAACAACCACAACAGGCATGTGAGTGTAGCCGGAGCAGCAGGCCCTAGGTGCAGCACTTACAGTCCAAACATCTGGTGACCGACTAGCTTGGCCTGTAGTGGCATCTTACTCTCTCCTGGGCTCCTGAATAATAATCAGGAGAGCAATAGTAATCTCTAATAAATGCTGACTTAGCTGTTGGATCTCCTAATTCCAAAATAACCCTATGAAATCGTTTTATCCTCCATTTTCCAGATGTAAAAAACAAGGTTTGGTGAGGGAATTGGTCAAGTACCCAGGATCCCGTGGAGCGGAGCAGTGAATTGCTAGAGCTTTCCGGCTAAAGAACAGGGTGTCTGCAGGGGCACCATGTAGGCCTGTGGAACAGATGCATCTGGAGAGCTTTTTAAGAATACACATTCCCAGGGGCCCTGGCTGACTCTTGATCTTGGGGTCATGAGTTCAAGCACCATGTTGGACATTGAGATTACTTAAAAAAAGAAAAGAAAAGAAAAGAATAAACACATTCCCTGGCCCAAGGATTCTAATTCAGTAGGTCTAGGGTGGTGTTGGGATTAGCTATGTTTAAAGAGGCACCTCTAGGGGCCCCCAGGTGGCTCAGTCCTTTGAGGTCTGACTCTTGGTTTCAGCTCAGGTCATGATCTCAGGGTCTTGAGATGAAGCCCCGCATCGAACTCCCCGCTCACCTCCGGCCCCTCTGGTTCCTGGGGCTGGCGCTCAGTGGGGAGTCTGCTTCCCCTCTCCCTCTCCCTCTGCCCCTCTACCTGCTCTGCCCATCCACCCACTCGTGCTCTCTCTCTCTAAAATAAAATAAATCTTTAAAGAGGCATCTCTAAGAGACTCCATCAAAGATGCCTGCTGGTCCAGCATGCAGCGTGGGTAGAAAGTGGGGCTGGTGAGGCAGGAGGAGCCCGGGTCATGGAGCACTGTAAGTGCCCAGCTGGGGGATGGGTTTTATTCTGTGACAATGGACACCCTCACCATTTGGCCGTTGACAGACTCTCAAACTTTAGTGTGCGCATGAAGCCCCTAGGTATGTTATAAATGCAGATGCTAGCTCAGTAAGCCTGGGGAAGGGCCCAAGATTCAGCAATTTTAACAAGCTTCCAGAGGAAACAGATGCTGCTGGTCCCCAAGCCCCACTTCAGGTAGCAAGGCTTTAGGAGAACATTTCCCAAGGCATGTTCTGAGGAACACTACATTTTTTTTTTTTTTTAAGATTTTATTTATTTGTTTGACAGAGAGAGACACAGCGAGAGAGGGAACACAAGCAGGGCAAGTGGGAGAGGGAGAAGCAGGCTTCCTGTTGAGCAGGGAGCCCGATGCGATGCGATGCAATGCGATGCGGGGCTCGATTCCAGGACCCTGGGATTATGACCTGAGCCGAAGGCAGACGCTTAATGACTGAGCCGCCCAGGCGCCCCTAAGGAACATTAATTTTTAAAAAGAAGGGTTTAATGGTCACATGAGTTTGGGAAGGGCTGTATGCTCAATCCCACAATGCACAGCAATATTCTTAAGGCTCTGAAAAGTCCCCTGATATGTTTTCGCCATGGTTTCCAACTTATTTGACCACAGAATTCCTCCCTCACCCCCACCCCTTTGTTATGTAAACATCTTGGGGAAGCACTCCTAGAAGAATATTAATCCAGCCCCAAGCACTAGATGAATTAAACTAGAGTGAATCTGGAGGCAGGAAAGGCAATGGGGGTTGGGGGTATCCTGGGGGTCAGAGGAAGGAGGCTGAGCAGGCTAGTGGAGAGGAGGGAGAGATACACCGAGGGAGGGACTGGGATGAGACAAAGAGACCTGCATGGCTTCAAACCCTGGGTACCGGCAGGAGGAGGGATCATTAACAAAGCAAAGAAGTCAAGAGATCCTCAGCTTAAGGCGTTTAATGGGCAAAGAAGAGCAGTGTGCCTGGAGGGAGTGAGGAAGGGGCAGAAGTGGTGGGACCCTTGGTTCAGGACTCTGCTGAGCCACCAGAGTTTTTTTAAATACAGCAGTGACATGATTTGGTTTACATTTTTTAAAATATGCCTTGGAAAGTGGGTTGCCGGAGGGTGCTGACGGGTAGACTATCTCTGGAAGGAGACTGCAGACAGTGGTAACAGCAGTCCCCTTTGAAGGCAACAGGGATAAAAGGAGATGCTCTGTTTACAACATATCCCTTTGTACCTTTTGAATTTTACACTGCATGCATGTATTCCTCATTCACTGAATAAATAAGTAGCTTTCACAGAGCGGCAGAAGCTTGGGAGAACAGTCAGGCAGTCTCTACCTTTGTCCAGGGAAGAGGCAGCGGTGACATGGACTGGGGTGGTGGAGGTGGAGGGGAAGGGGACCACGTCAGGAGACATGACAGAGAATCCTGGAGAAGAACTGAACATGGGGGTGAAGGAGTGGGAGGCAGCAAGGCTGACTCTTGGTGTCTGGACTGAGAAATAGGTTGGATGGATGAAGTGAGGTGGGAAAGACTGGATGAACAGGTTTAGGAGGGAAGATGCGGGTTAGGGAGGAGGGAATGAGCTTGGTTTGTGACCTGGTGAGTTTGGTGTGTCTGTGGGCTATCAGGTGGAGAGAGGGCCAGAGCCTGGAGACAGATTTTTGTAGTATCACCCCAAAGAGTGTCGGGGGGCAGGGGGGCTCCAGGACAGAGGGACACTGCTGAGAAGGAGATGTGAGAGAAACGTCTCAAGGTGGCGGGAGCCCTGGGGGCCCCAGAGCTGGGCGTGCAGGGGACTTCAGGCAATGCAAGCGAAGCTCGCAGAGTATTTCAGATAATCCTAACAGTGAGACAGAAGCCGAGAAGAGAGGTCATGCCACTGGGAAGCCAAAAGACAGTGAGTTCCAAGGAAAGTTCTGTGTCCGGGGCAGTGAGCAGGCCCACTGGGATCTCAGAAAGAGCCATGTCCCGTGGGCGGGGGCAAGAGCTGGATGACAAAGCTGGATTGATTCATGGGAAAGGCCTCTAAGCAGGCTGGGGGCTCACAGCCCTCCCCCACCCACCCCACAGACGGAGTGCTTCAACCACGTGCGATTCCTTCAGCGGCTCAACGCCACCCACTTCTACGCGTGCGGGACTCATGCCTTCCAGCCCCTCTGCGCGGCCATTGTGAGTATGGCTGCCCCCGCCCTGACTGCGAGTCCCAGGCCCCCGGGCTCTGGTCCGTGGCCCCAGACTGGTCTGACCTTGGGCCACAGCCTCTGCCTGTCCTCGAGACCACTGACTTCTGGCCCCATCTTCCCGCAGGATGCTGAAGCCTTCACCTTGCCAGCAAGCTTCGAAGAGGGGAAGGAGAAGTGTCCTTATGACCCAGCCCGTGGCTTCACAGGCCTCGTCATTGGTGAGCTTGCACTCCCCCCACCCCCTGTCCCACCAGCATGCGGTTTGTGGGACATGGATCTCCTTGCGAGGACTCACCGCCCATGTGGGTTATGTGCCTTGTGGTATGTGGCGTGTGTCATGCTCGGCCCGTCTCTGCTCCAGATGGAGGCCTCTACACAGCCACGCGGTATGAATTCCGGAGCGTCCCTGACATCCGCCGGAGCCGTCACCCGCACGCCCTGAGGACGGAGGAGGCACCCATGCAGTGGCTCAACGGTCAGGGGGATGAGGCGCAGAGTGATGGGGGGCAGGGAACTGTTTCTTCATCTTCACTCGCTGTGGCACTGGGCCATCCCCTCCCAAAATTCCCGGCTGCACCTGTCTATTCCTGTGCGGTGCTGAGTGAGGGCCGTAGTGGAGGGGATCCCCAGCCTGTCTCAGAGGCCATTTGAACTGCCTGACCCACAGATGCTGAGTTTGTGTTCTCTGTCCTGGTGCGGGAGAGCAAGGCCAGCGCCGTGGGGGACGATGACAAGGTTTACTACTTCTTCACGGAGCGTGCCACTGACGAGGGCCCCAGCAGCTTTGCTCAGAGCCGCAACAGCCACCGTGTGGCCCGCGTGGCCCGTGTGTGCAAGGTGAGTAGGACCAGGTTCAGGGCAAGAGTGTAGAAGCTGAACCTCTGACCCTGACCCCTGACCCTGTGCCCCTACCTCCTCAGGGAGACCTGGGAGGAAAGAAGATCTTGCAGAAGAAGTGGACATCCTTCCTTAAGGCGCGTCTCGTCTGCCACATTCCACAGTATGAGCTGCTCCGTGCTGTCTGCAGCCTGGACGCCGACACCTCAGCCCGCACACACTTCTACGCGGCCTTCACGCTGACCACCCAGTGGTCAGTGCAGGGACAGTGGGGAGAGGAGGAACTGGGGACAGTGTGGGGGCTGGGGCAGAGGTCAGTGAGGGTACACTAGGATCCCTTGTGGGGAGGCTGGCTGCAGAGAGAGGATTTCAGGTGCACCCAGGTAGCCTGGGGCCAGAGGCCACAGTGGCCTCCTCACCCTTAGGGGAGGCCCTGAGGCCTAGAGCTGGGGTCAGCCAGGGTAACAGCAGGCTCCAGGAAGGGCAGGGGGCAGGGGACAGGCTCCACTCCATGTGGCTCAACCCCCTCCCCTGTGTCCCTTCCTAGGAAGACCCTAGAGGCCTCAGCCATCTGCCGCTACGACCTGGCCGAGGTGCAGGCTGTCTTCGCAGGTCCCTACATGGAGTACCAGGATGGTGCCCGGCGCTGGGGCCGCTATGAGGGTGGGGTGCCAGAGCCTCGGCCTGGCTCAGTGAGTGCCCAAGTCTGGGGTCTGCCCTGGGTAGACAGAACCCCTGGGAGGGGCAGAAGGATCTAGCCTTGGGGCTGGCGAGGGATGGTCAGGCAATAGATTCCTGAGCTCGCCACCTCTGTCCCCTGCCCCAGTGCATCACAGATTCACTGCGCACACGTGGCTACAACTCATCCCAGGATTTGCCGTCCCTGGTCCTGGACTTTGTGAAGTTGCACCCGCTGATGGCCCGGCCTGTGGTGCCCACACGTGGAAGGCCCCTGCTGCTCAAGCGAAACGTGCGCTACACGCACCTCACAGGGACTCCTGTCTCCACACCCGCTGGGCCCACCTACGACCTGCTCTTTCTGGGCACAGGTACTTCTGAGCCCTGCTCTGAGCCCTTAGGTAACCGAGTCCTTGACCCTCGTTGACTGCTAATCCCCTGGATGACTTTTGATCACAAGTCCCTGGTGACCATTGATATTGATTCTTCAGTGAACACTCACTGCTGGCCCCTGGTGACCACTGGCTCTGGGTGACTTCTGACTCTTGTCACCAAACACCATGATATTGGACCCTGATCACTAATGCTTGTGAACCCAGTAATTTCTGCCATGACTAGCCCAGAATTCCCAGTGTCCTGAGGAACTTCTGGCTGAATCCTTGTCCCTGATCTCATGACTCCGGAGCCGCTCCCATCAGGCTATTGCAGGGGACCGGAACCAGATTCTGTCTTTGGGTTCTGACTCTCTGTCCTCTCCATACCAGCTGATGGCTGGATCCACAAGGCCGTGGTGCTGGGCTCTGGGATGCACATTATCGAAGAGACGCAAGTGTTCAAGGAGCCCCAGTCCGTGGAAAATCTGGTCATCTCTCCAGTGCAGGTAGACTCTGATTCATGATCCTCAATGTGGCCTTGCCAGAGTAGGGAGAGGGAGTGGGTGGCTGGGCAGTGGCTGTGTGTATCTGTAGGTGGGAGCCGGGGGTGTTGCCAACCAGCTTTCCTCTCTGGCTCCCAGCATAGCCTCTACGTGGGGGCCCCTAGTGGAGTCATCCAGCTACCACTGTCTAGCTGCTCCCGCTACCGCTCCTGCTACGACTGCATCCTGGCCCGGGACCCCTACTGTGGCTGGGACCCCAGCACCCGTGCCTGCATTGTATTCAGCAGGTCCCAGGGTAGCAGGTGAGTGGTGGCGGGGGGGGGGGGGTCAGGATCCCAGGGGAGGAGGAAGGCCTGCTGGCTGTAGAGGACATGGGGGCAGTTGGTGACAGCCTTAGGGACCCTGCCACTGGGGAAAACTAAGCTCACTTCCCCCGGTTCTGCCTCCAGGACAGCACTGATACAGGACATGGAGAGAGGCAACCGAGGCTGCGAAGGCCACAGGGACTCAGGTAAGTGACCTTCATGGATGTGAGTAGGCCTGGCTGCACAGACTGTCATTTACCTGTGCCTGTGTATCTCCGGACGGCCGCGTCTGTGGGCTTTCGGCAAGGATGTCCTAGCAGAGTCTGGCACAGAGTAAGTGCTTCACAGATAGTTGTTGCCCAAAGGAATCATAAATGAGGAGACAGGCTCAAGATGGAAAGTTTTTGTCACTTCTGGAACTTACAGGCACGTGAGGGCGGGGGGCAGGCAATTAAATGGCCACACAAATAATTGTTTTCATTGGTTTTTGTTACAAAAGGAATATTTACAACTATGACAAGGGTTTGAAGGATAATGGGTACTTCCCTGAGGAAAATCAGATGACTGGGCTGCTCCCTGAAGAGCAAAAGTTAATAGGCACAGCTAACATGTACTGAGTACTTCCTGGTGACAGGCGCTGACTGAATACACACACACACACACCATGTCACTTTCTCTCACAGCAGTCAGGGGACAGGTGCCATGATCCCCATCCCTGTGAGAGGCAATCTCTCTGAGGTAGAGGGAGAGTAAGTAAACCACCCAGAGTTAATAAGCTAGGAAGTAACAGGGTCAGAATTCAAACCTGACCCCAAGCAGCCCGACTGGTTTGTGCTTTTCATCACTGCTGTCCTCTTTCCTGCAAGAGAACCAGTGGAGGGCAAGGAGGGGGCGTGACACCCCAGCAGAAGGAACAGCAGGCAGATGGGCTTGGTGTGTTTGAGAAGGGGCTGGAGAAGTGGGCAGGGACCACGGCGAGGCAGGGGGGTGGCATAATTGGTATGGTGTTTTTACACGGTCACCCCACTGCTGCATGGAGAGTGGATTAGATGGCGGCCAGAGGGGACCAGCTTCCCCGGTTGGGGAAGAAGAGAAGTGAACAGGTCTGAGACGGATTCTGGAAGTAGAGTCTTGGTGAGAGTTAGATACAAAAGCGAAGGGGAGGGAGAAGCAAAGGAGACTCCCAGGTTTCTTTCTGACTTAAGCAGCTGAGTAGCTAGTGGCACCATTCGCTGCGATGACAATTCAAGGAAAAGACCTGGTATAGTCTTCGAGGGAGGCTTTGGCCTTAGTTCATGTGCCATGCCCCAGAGGCCTCACACCGAGATGCCCTGCAGGCGGAAGATGTCCAAGTCTGACAGTCAGGAGAGAACTCCGCTGGAGGTTGAGATTACGAATCGCTGGCGGATAGCAGGAATTGAAACCACCGGGAAGAGCCAGTGCAAACCTTGGGAACCTTACATGACAGCATGAGTGCAGGAGACCGTTGTCAGTTGTCACTGTGGTTCCAGATCCTGTGCTTGCTGCTGGGGACGCTAACAGTGAACCATCTGGCCTGCCATCTCCATTGCCCTCCCTGAGATAGACATTGACCACTCCTGTCTCTCACCCCCCTCCAGGGCCACCACCACCCCTGAAAACTCGCTCTGTACTCCGAGGGGATGATGTCCTCCTGCCCTGTGACCAGCCATCCAACCTGGCCCGGGCCTTGTGGCTGCTTAATGGGAGCACGGGCCTGAGTGACGGGCAGCATGGCTACCGTGTGGGTGTGGATGGGCTGCTGGTGACAGACATACAGCCTGAGCACAGTGGCAACTATGGCTGCTATGCCGAGGAGAACGGCCTCCGCACCCTGCTGGCCTCCTACAGCCTCACCGTCCGTCCAGCCACGCCTGCCCCAGCTCCGCAAGCCCCTGCCATACCCGGGGCGCAGCTGGCGCCTGACGTGAGGCTGCTCTACGTGCTGGCCATCGCTGCACTTGGCGGCCTCTGCCTCCTTCTAGCTTCCTCCCTCCTCTACGTGGCCTGTCTTCAGGGAGGCAGACGAGGGCGGCGAAGGAAATACTCTCTGGGTCGGGCAGGCCGGGCAGGGGGCTCGGCCGTGCAGCTGCAGACCGTTTCAGGCCAGTGTCCTGGAGAGGAAGAGGAGGGCGACGACGGGGAGGGGCCTGGGGGACTGGAAGGTGGCTGCCTCCAGATCATCCCTGGGGAGGGAGCCCCAGCCCCACCACCCCCACCGCCCCCACCCCCGCCGGCCGAGCTGACCAACGGGCTGGTGGCTCTGCCCAGCCGGCTGCGCAGGATGAACGGCAACAGCTACGTGCTCCTGAGGCAGAGCAACAACGGAGTGCCAGCGGGGCCCTGCTCGTTCACGGAGGAGCTCAGCCGCATCCTGGAGAAGAGGAAGCACACGCAGCTCGTGGAGCACCTGGACGAGAGCTCTGTCTGAGCCCGGCCTCTTAGGACAAATGCTCTTCCAAGCCAGCCTGTCTGCCCCAGGCCGGGCTGCTGTTTCCCCCACACAGCCACTCTGTCGTCACCCCCCCCAACTCCAGGCCCTTCTCCCAACTTTTTGATGTCCCTGTAGGGCTAGCAGAGTCAGGCCCAGCCAAAGCCCCCTCCTCAGTCTCCACAGACCCATCTGTGAGCAGCCCAGGCCAACCGGTGCTCCTCAGAGGTGGGTACTCCCTCAGGACGTGGTATTCTGTAGACCCGGTCCCGGTTCCTATTCCCGTAACCCAAGCACTGGGTTGCCCCATTTGTCTGCTCAAACCCTTCCTCTTTCTCCCAGGCAGGGCTCTGCAGGTCCAGATGACCTCAATGTCACCACCCTCTGCATGGCCCTATGTGCTGGATGGTCCCGAAACCAGACAAGACCTCTGCCAGCCGCCAGAGCCACCTGAGCCCTGCGTACATTCACATGTGCACATGGATGAATGTCCATCAGCTGGGCTGCAGGGCCCCCGCCCCCACCTCCTGGTGCATTCTTGTATTTCACCTCTCCTGGACTTTGGGTACCCTTCCAATTGCCACATCCCATACTATCTAGTCCTCTCCCCTAGTTCCAGACCCATGTAGTGACCTCTTTGGCAAGAGCTTGGGAACAGGCCAGCCTGGGGAGGTAAGACTGTGTCATTCCCCTCTTCATCCTTAATGTGTAGCCCTTGTGAGCCAACACCCCCATCCCCTTGGTCACTCTCAGGAGTGACAGACAGAGCCCCAGGCGTGTCCCTTCACACACATGTGCTTACATTTCCACATACATTTCTGAGCCTCCCTTTGCTGCCTCGGACCTGTCTGTTGGGTTTGGTCCGTGGACATTTCAGAGGGAGAGCCGTCTCCCGTTCAGCTGTCCTCTCAGACATTTCCCTAGGATGGGTGACCAACACTGCAATGAGCCAGCCTCCCTTTGGGGGACCAAGCATTTGCTACCCCTAGACCAGAGCAGGGGGAGGAGATCTGCTGTCTCACCTGGCACATGAAGCCCGTTCTTGGAACTATGCAAAGGGCAGAGGCTGGGAGTTTGGATGCTTGGCTCCCACCCCTGTCCTACCTCACCGGGGCACTTTCAGGGTCCAGGGGCCTCTGAAGTCTCCAGGCCCATATGGGACAATCAAATCCTGACTGAGCTCCCCTATCCCCCTTGGGTGAGGATGACTGTTATTTTTATAGCTGAGAATGTGGAATCCCCATGGATTTTTACTGCCCTTCACCCAACCTCTCCCCCCTCCACCCCACAATGAATGTATTTATTGTAAGAACGGCTATACTTCTTTAGGAATGCCCCCACTCACCACCCAGGTGGGCAGAACAGGCATGTGACAGAGTGGGGAGCCTGGGTTCAGCTCCTCCCCCTCTTGTTGGTCAATAAATGCCCTCTCTCCCCACAGTTCTGTGTGTTCCACTTGGTCTAGGCTGGCTTTCCCTGATCGCGAGGGGGCACGCTTCTGAGCCTATGGATACACTGCTGCAAGATTTGCTCTGCTCCCCATAAAACCATTTGCAGAGAAAACTGGGATCCTCAGCCTCCATCTGGCTGCCCTGGGCAGGTACACAGGCCTTTATAGGGCTCTTACTACTCACTGATCATGGTGATAAGGGCCTGACAAACAAAATTACAACTGTTCAAGAATTCATACAAAGGACTGTAGGTTTTTACCTCCTGGCTCTTTTCCTCACCATTCCTCCCCCTTGCTTTAGCTAAGCCTAGAAGATGCTCCCTGTTTATCAGTTCTCTCACTCATCCACAGGAAGCTTTTCAGTACCTCCCCTCCCCCAACAAGGGACAACATGAATTCTTTTCTGCAGAGGGGCCTGTCTTGGGAAATAGTTAGGACCCCGGCAAGCTTGTTACCAGGGATCTGACCTTAGAATCACTCTCCAAGGGTCCAGACTAGATTAACCACATGGCCTTTGATACTAGCCATCCTGAAGGGTTATATGTTCTGCTTCTGGTTTTAGAATAATGAAAAGTGAGGTTATTTGTTAAATCTACACATATTTTGAAGGCCTCAAGTGTAAACGTGAGTATGTTTATTAACCTCAGGTTTTTTTTTTTAATTTAAAGCTTGTACTTATTTGTACTTATTTGACGGGGGTTGGGGGGAGAAGCAGACTCCCGGCTGAGCAGAGAGCCTGATGGGGGCCTCGATCCCAGGACTCTGAGCTCATGATCTGAGCTGAAGGCAGAGGCCCAACCCACTGAGCCACCCAGGCGCCCTAACCTCACTTTTCTATTCTAAACATTCACACGGGTATAAAGTGGTTATCCTAATGCCATGTTCACAGCAGAGTGTAAGATGCTTCTCCTCTAGCTCAAAGGTTGCAGATATAGGACACTGGGGATTCTTCAGATGCCAATCATGAAACCTCACGCTGGGATTTGAGATCACTATTCTCAGACTGGACTTCAGAACAGATCCTGTAATATCCTTGAAGTCAGGTCTCAGGAATGTCAAATAAGGAAGAATTAGGAGACAAAGTCACTGCCCTGCCTCCTGAGCAACGAGAAAACAGCTCCTTCTCCCAAGCAAAAGCTCTGGCGTCAATTTCCCTTTTGAAGGGCTCTATCTGCCTGTGTGGGCTTGGAAAAAGAGGAAGAACCACCCCCACTGGGGTGAGAGTCCAAAGCCTGGGACTGGAGTTGGTGGAGCAACTCTTCATGGCACTTGCACCTGGGCTATGGCAGCGTCTTGAACCTCTCGCGGGCGCAGCCCGCCTAGCGTTGTCGGTTTGTTGGTGAAGGGGTGCCACTGACCCTGGATGCTAGGGCTGTCCGTGTGGAAGGGCTTGCGGATACGGATCACATCCAAGCCCGACTGGTCCGCCAGCTTCTGCACGAGCGTCGCAATTTCCTCGACTGACTTGCAGTGGATGCTCTCCTCGCGCACTGCCCCGTTAACTGGCCGAAGGGAGGGGGTGGGAGGAGAGGAAGCGGATGGATCAGGGGTCAGACCCGCGAAAGGCGAGCGGGTCCAGCCTCCACCCCCCCGCCACGTTGCCCTCCAGCCCTCTTCCGGCCCCACTCACGGTATTCGGCCACTACTCTGGGCACACAGCACGGCCGCGAGTTCACGTATATTACGACCCCCGGGTTCCGTCGGGCGAAGTCAGCCACCTCCTGTTCCACGAACTCCCTGAGGAAGCCGAGAAGAGTAAGCACAGCGACCGCTGACCCGGGGCGACCTCAGCCCGGAGAGCACCCCGCGCCCTTCGCCCGACTCACCTGGCGCCGCGAGACGACGCCGCATCGCGGCTGAGGCTAAAGCTGAGACGCTGCAGCTGCTGCACGTAGCGACCCAGCCCGTTGTGGAGGACACTGGCCAGGAAGCGGCTCGGGGTCCCGCGCGCCGTCATGTCCGCAGCGCCCAGATAACACAGACCAGCCTGGAGGGCAGGAGAGGGGTGGGGGGGCGGGACGAACGCGGAAGCTTCCGGTTCCGGGAACACTCGCGCGCCGGAGTTTTGCTTCCGCGGTCACGGTGCGAGGCGCGCCAGTGACCCACGTTGCGGGCTAGATGGGCGAGAGGATGGTAGTGACGCGCGGTCAGGGTCGCGAACAGCACAGCTTTTGTCAGTAGAGCCGAGGGAGGACATGGGCGCGGGGTCGAGGTGAGCGCGGGGACTGGCGGGAGCCGCCCGGTGGCGCTGTAGTCGTGGCGAGTCCCCTTTGAGGGAAGAAGCGGCGAGGAGGGCCTCCACTTGGGGGCTAGCGCTTTGGAGTCCGGAACGACGCGGGTGGCGGTAGAGATGGAGACGACGAGGAGATCCCCTGGCCGGGCGGGAGTGGTAAAGAGATGATCTAGAGAAAGCACAGCGGTGAGGGGCCGCGTGGAGGGTGGTAGACGTGAGGAAGTGGGTGTACGGGGCCATAGAGGTAGAGAGCCAGAGAGAGGCACACGGCCGTGAAAGATGGGCACAGATGTGAAGTAGCAATGCAGAGGGGTGAAGAGGATTCAGAGGAATGATTATGAGGGACAAGTTGAGAGAAAGAAACCACCTCGAGTGGGCTCTGTAGAGTGCTGTGCAGAGGATCCCTAGGTCCTGACCTAGTGAAGGCACCCAAACCAGGGAGGAAAGCATTTCAATTAGTAACTTATTCGATTTGACTAAGAATGTGGGTACTTCTTCGAGGTGGGTACCCCCTCCGTATCCTGCTGCCCCTGCGTGGGGAGTGGATGGGTCAGAGAGGCCTGCCCAGAAGCTTGGTCATAGGCCCTCCTCGCAGAAGGTACAGGAAGGAGGCTCTCCCAGCCTTGGAGGTACCAGTGTTGCCTGTAACTGCAACTGAAATCCGTCAGTATTTGCGAGCACATGGGATCCCCTTCCAGGATGGCCACAGCTGCCTGCGGGCACCAAGCCCCTTTGTGAAGGCCTTGCAGCTCAAGGACCAGACTGGTGCTACTGCTTCCTTCAGCCTTTTCATTGACAAGACCACAGGCCGCTTTCTCTGCATGAGCAGCCTAGCAGAGGGGAGCTGGGAAGACTTCCAGGCCAGCGTGGAGGGGCAAGGGGATGGGGCCAGAGAGGGGGTCCTGCTTGGTGAGGCCCCAGAAGCTGAGGACAGTGAGGAGATCCGGAGGATCTGGGACCGAGCCATACCTCTTTGGGAGCTGCCTGAACCAGAGGAGGCCCAGCTGGCTCGTGTGATGTTTGGCCTTACCAAAGTGACAGATGACACACTCAGGCGTTACAGTGTACGGTATTTGCGGCCTGCTCGCAGCCTTGTCTTCCCTTGGTTCTCCCCTGGAGGTATGGGATTACGAGGCTTGAAGCTACTAAGTGCTGAAGGCCAGGGAAATGAAGTACATTATAAGGAAACCACCATTCCCCGGCCTGGTGTCTACTGCAATCTGTTTGGATTACCACTGATCAGTCGGCGAGATGTTGAGGTGGTACTGACAAGTCGTGAGCTGGACAGCCTGGCCTTGAACCAATCCACAGGACTGCCCACCCTTGCCCTACCCCGAGGAACGGCCTGCTTACCCCCTGCCTTGCTCCCTTACCTCGAACAGTTTCGACGTATTGTGCTCTGGCTGGGAGATGACCTTCGGTCTTGGGAAGCTGCCAAGTTGTTTGCCCGAAAATTGAATCCCAAGCGATGCTCTTTGGTGCGGCCTGGGGACCAGCAGCCCCGTCCCCTTGAGGCCCTGAACCGAGGCTTAAATCTTTCTCGTATTCTGCGTACTGCCCTTCCTGCCTGGCACAAGTCTATCGTGTCTTTCCGGCAGCTTCGGGAAGAGGTGCTAGGAGAACTGTCAAATGTGGAGCAGGCAGCTGGCATCCGCTGGAACCGCTTCCCAGACCTCAATCGTCTCTTGAAGGGTCATCGGAAGGGTGAGCTGACAGTCTTCACAGGTGAGCCCTTGGGGTAAATCACTACTTGGGGTAAGAGGCAAAGGATCAGGTGACAAAAGCACGTGGGTTTGGGACATGACAAATGTTAAAGAGGAGGTTTCTCCCAACTTTGAAGCCCTTGCTCCAGGTCTTGGTTTTAAGGGTAGAACTTTCCTCCCTCACCCAGGTCTGTGTTCAACCCCTCTGCAGGGCCAACAGGCAGTGGAAAGACGACATTCATCAGTGAGTATGCCCTAGACTTGTGTACCCAGGGGGTAAACACACTCTGGGGTAGCTTTGAGATCAGCAACGTGAGACTAGCCCGGGTCATGCTGACACAGTTTGCTGTGGGGCGACTAGAAGAACAATTGGACAGATACGACGAGTGGGCTGACCGCTTTGAAGACCTGCCTCTCTATTTCATGACTTTCCATGGGCAGCAGAGCATCAGGTAAGATTCTGAGGCCTAGAGTTTTCAAAGAATGGGAGGACAGGAGAACAGATCCCCAACAGAATTTTCAGGAATGCTGACTTTTCTGCTGGGCTGGTTCAGAGAGACTGCTTGTAATTGACTCTTGAATTCTTTGCCTCTTCCTCTCCCCAGGACTGTCATAGACACAATGCAACATGCAGTATATGTCTATGACATTTGTCACGTGGTCATCGACAATCTGCAGTTCATGATGGGGCATGAGCAGCTGTCCACAGACAGGTGACGTCCTCTCGTCTCACTGGAAAACCCACTCAAACGTGCATGTCTTCTCAGGCAGTTGGCCCTTAGGCAAGCACAATGTACTCTTTTGTTACCTGAAATGTGTGTTTGCACACACCACCCCATGTGTATTTCTGTCTTCATAGAGGTGTGAGTTGTGGAAGTGGGAAGGATGGATAGGGACCTAAGTGTGAGTCCTTGGGTAGAGTGGGGTGGGCGGTTTGCAGGGAGCTGTAAATGAATCAAGAGTATGGATATGTTCTCATCCTTCTGTCTGAATATGCCTTTACTTTGTTGGGGTTGGGGCAGGATTGCGGCTCAAGACTACATTGTTGGGGCCTTTCGAAAGTTTGCAACAGACAATAGCTGCCATGTGACACTGGTCATTCATCCCCGGAAGGAGGACGATGATAAGGAACTGCAGACAGCATCCATTTTTGGTTCAGCCAAAGTAAGTGGCCTTTAGAGGAGCCTAAACTTTGGATAGTAGAGGAGACAGGTGTGACCAGGGATGGCCTTCATTCAGCCTTAAATAATCTTGACTGTCCACCTGGAAGAGGCAGGAGATAGCCGCCTCTGGGGCCATGACATGAGGAACACGTGTGTTAGGAATACAAAGGCTGATAATAGTTAGTTGGTCCTTTGCCCTCTTTGCCCTCTAAGAGCTCACATCGTCCAGTGGGGATAATAGTAAGACAGTGATTATAAGTCAGTATGATAGGAGCTACAATAGGCAACACAGGTATTTGGGGAACAATGAGACATCTGAGTCGGCCTGGGACATCTGGGGAGACTTCTTGCCCATTTGGGAAGAGGAGGTGTCAACAGAGGTTGGGTTGAGTTCTGGCAGACAGTAAGTGTTAAATAATCGAATAATGGGAGGGCGTTGTGGGCAGCAGGACCAGCCTGATCCTGGAGCTTCCAGGGATATGCTGAGTGCCTGTTACGTGCTAGGCTTGGGCTGGGCACAGGGAGTCCAGGGTGAGGAGCACAAACTATGCCACAACGGAACAAACATGGAGCTAGGGAAGAGAGTGACACAGATGTGCAAAGATGGTGGTTCTTTCTTTATGGGGGTCAGGAATGGTCTCTGATGAAGTGTGACATTTAGACTGAGACCTGAATGACAAGAAGATGGGGTAGAGTGGGGTGGTGAGCTGTGGAGGAGAAGTGTCACAAGCAGAAGGAACAGCGTTTACAGAATCCGGGGCAGTGAGATAGTCGAGCAACTGAAAGACTCAAGTGGCCCCCTCATCTTGGTCAGTAGTTCAGGGAGCTTTGCCATTCTTCCCTGGAGGTTCAGCCTTCCTTTCTTCTTCTCATGTCTTCTCACTGCTTCTTCCTCCTCCTGCCCCAATCCCCCAGGCAAGCCAGGAAGCAGACAACGTTCTGATTCTACAGGACAGGAAGCTGGTCACTGGTCCAGGGAAACGGTATCTGCAGGTGTCCAAGAACCGCTTTGATGGAGACGTAGGTGTCTTCCCACTGGAATTCAACAAGAGCTCTCTTACCTTCTCCATACCACCAAAGAGCAAGGCTCGGCTCAAGAAGGTCAAGGATGACAATGGGCTAGTGACCAAAAAGCCCTCTTCTGGCAGAAAGGGGGCTGTGCCCCAGAACTCTGAGACTTGCTTGGGTCAGGCCCACCACTCCTACCAGCCAAACCCCTCTAAGCCCTCAAGGTGAAGGCACTGGAGAGCTGGACTCTGAAATGAACCTGACAAGACACAGGCTGAGACATAGACTTTCTTAGTCCTCTGCTTAGGCTACCTCTGTCCTGTGGTCTCAAGCTAGGGACCCCCCTCAGTCAGAGGGGCCTACCTAGGGCAGAATTCCATACCGGGAGAATTCAGTTTAGCAAATATTTGAGAACCTCCTGTGTGCCAAGGTTTGTTCTAGGTCCTGGGAGTACAATACTGACAAGACAGATGAAGTCTCTGCTTCTCTAGAACCTGCAGTCTGGTAAGGGAGACAAGAAAAAAAACGAACAAAACAGTTTCAGACAGCGAGATAGGCTATGAAGAAAAAACAGTAATGCAGTAATGCTTATAGGCTAGTTTAAGGTCTGAACAGGTATCTCTAAGCAGAGGACATTGAAGATGGGGCCTAAAAGAACTAGGATGGAGCCATGTGAACATCTAGAGAAAGAGGGATCCAAGCAGAGGGAAAATTAGACACAGGCCCTGAGGTGGGAATGAGCAAGTTGAGTTCAAAGCACTGGGTTCAGGCCCTCTGAACCTGGAAGGGAATAGAGGACTTCTTGCCAAACCTCCAGCCTAGGTTTGGAGCTACAGGATGACATGGTGGGCATCAGAGTCCTCTGCGGCCCACTCTGGACCCTGCCAGGAGGTGGCACTTGCCACCATCGGATCCTAGGTGCTTGGCCCTGTAATATCAGGGCCCCAGAGGTGGAAGCTGGCCAGAGAAGAAAGCTGTGAGCCCAGAGTGCCTGCCACCTGGACACTGATTTCATGTTATGCTGCCTCAGACCACTGGAGTGGACACAGTCATAACTTTTTGTAAAGCCTTTTCTAGTTATACTGAAAAAAACTTTTTGCCATTGCCTTTGTTTCTGTGTTTTTTCTTGTTTGTCCACCAGGTGTCTCCCCAGCCTATAACTGGATTTTCCTCTTGATTTGAATTGGGAATCTTTGAGCTGTGCACCCCCAAGGAAGCAGAGGCATTAAAGGACCTTGACCCACACATCCCTTTATGCCTCTTGTTGGCTTCGGGATGACAGGATGGTGCCTCTTTATCCCTATCTCCCCTGAGGCTATCCATGTGATCTGTGACAGAGGTGTGGGTCACTGGGCCACATGCCTGGGCCCCCGCCTGACCAGCTGTCCCTAGGTGATATGAGCCACTCAATGACCTCTCAATGTGGATTCATACTCCGTGTTTTCTTATCTGGCTCTCCGACCATTTTCCTCGACCTTGTATGCTCAAATGTTTCTCTTATGTTCATATGTGTCAGAACTCCTGGGGCTCTTTAAAAATGCAGAACCTAGGGCCTACTCTCCAGTAAGCATGCACAGACGTTTCTAATTTTGGAGGTCTGAGGAAAGGTGCAGGATTCCTCTTTTTTAACAAGTACTGAAGGAGATTGTAAAGTTAGAGACCTTGTCAGAAATAGTTTAAATGAGGGCACTTTCCCATCTCACTTCCTCTGATATCCTAAAGTCCCATTTTTCCCTTTAGATTTGCATGCAGGGATGGTCAGAATGCAAGATGTTCTGAGGGAATGGGGAGAAGACTTTTGTAAGGGTGGGCAGAGGTTTCCTGCTCCCTTGAACAGGGCTGCCTTATCAAGTCCTCCCAGTCCACCTAAGGGGGCTGCTTCTGGGGCCCTGTGGAAGGCTCTGGGGTGTCTGGTCTGTTGTGTGTGAGAACTGTGGCTACAACTGTCTCCCGAACACCCTGGAACAAAGCTGCTCTCTGGGGAAGAACCTGCGGTGGGGGGGAGGGGGTAGCTCCTCCAGGGCCTCCCTTCTGGGGGTCTCTCCCAGACTGGCTGGAGCCAGTCCTCCTAATCCCGCAGTAATCATTCCCAGCCGCTGGCTGGTCTCTGCCTCACCCAGGGTCTGTAACATTGAACGTCAGCCATGTGTTCCAGATGTACACCACCAGGTCATTCCTACCTCTGAGGACTCTGGTTTACTGGAAACGCCTGGTGTGTTCTCTCTCAGGAAATCCTTTAGGGATTTCCATTAGGGGACCTTTTTGAGGTCTCTGTGAACTGGGGATAGAAGAGTAGATACAACTTGCCTGTTCGTCTTGCCTAGCCCTCCTAGCAGACTCCACACACACAGCGCAAACCAGAATGATGGGAGGGAGGGGAAGTTAATGATCCCCCAGACCCCCCAGACCATCCGCAAACACATTCCACTGCACACCTGTCCTAAACTCCTCACATCAAGATTAGCTCAAAGTGTGTTCAGGAGTCCCTGGAGCCTAGAAAGCAGTGGGGGATCCCTGGGTCCTGTATAAGGTCCCTGGGAGCCATTGTCCCTGTGCCCAACCAGAGTGGATCTAGGCAAATTACTTGGGCTCAGCCTATATCCGATTGGATACTAATAATCTCCCTGAGAGATCAGGAAGGGCCTGGCCACAATGGGGCCAGCTGGATCTACAGCCCTGTCCTCAGACTTAGCGTCATATTTGTGAGGGGGCATCTTGGGTCCTCCAGTTTCTTTACTACAGGTGGGTTTGAGAAGAGACTAAATTCACTGGACTCTGGCTGCCCAAGTACTCAGGCTGCAAGTACGGTCCAGAGAGCTGTAGGTACCCTGCCACAGGCTGCCTTGGGTGCCACGGAGGGAGCCCTAGGTGCCACCCCGCAGTACCGTGCAACTTCCTGTTTGTGCCTGTGGGTGGAACTTCGGGAGTAGAAGGGAAGCCTGGCCTTGCTCTGTGGGGGCCCAGGACTGGCAAACAGGCTCACCTGGACGGACTCCTGATCAGGGGGAGGGGAGGTGCTGGTTCTGCTAGGGCAGTTCCGACCGACCGGAGGGCGGGGCGGGGTCTGTTTTGGTGAAACCCGAGCGGTCTTTGTCTGCTTCCTAGGGGTTTTCCTTGCTCCTGGGGAATGCGCGGAGTGGGTCCGGCCTGATTCCCTACCCGGCAAGGCAGGTGGCAGTAAAGCCCTATCGCGGACCCGGTTAGGGCGGCCAGGTAGAGTAGTTCTCGGTCACGTGCTGGTCGTCCCTTCCCCCACGTCGAAAACCAAATCCAGAAAGCTGTGAAGTCGGAGGCCAGAGGGGCAGCCTCATCACCGCCGAGCTTCCGCGGGGCTGGGTACCAGGTCGGCTGTTGGGGGGTAGGGGGTGTGCGGGGCAGACCACTCCCCTCCCTGGGTCGGGGGCGCGGCCTCAGCCGCCCCGCCCCGCCCCGCTCTACCAGGCCGGGCCAGGCGGGCGCCCGGAGTCCGGAGCCCGGAGCTGGCTGCGAGCCGGCGGATCTGCGGCGAGGAAGTGCCCGTGCTGGAGCTGGAGCTGGGCAGGAGGTGGAGCAGCGGCGCAGGTGGCGCGGGGTGAGTGGTGGGGCGGTGGAGGTGTCGGAACTCCAGCCTCCCGCACATCCCGGCTCCGGAACGAACTTTCCCGGTCTAGGGAAGCCGGGGGTGGGAGTGAGGAGGGGGTCCCACTCTGGGCTGGGGGTTGGGGGTTGCAGGCGAGGAGCCTGAACAGGGAATCGACACGGAAACTCGCCGACGGGTCCATACACGCACGCACACAGACCCACGCACTTGGGACACACGAACACACGTGCATTCCAGAAAGGACGCGCCCTGGGTTACCCTTGCAGTCCCTGGAGCAGCGCCACGGGCCCACAGGGACCCCCAGCGGACAGGGTGCTCTGCTGTCGCGTACTTGACGGGGGTGGGAGAAAAGGGCTGCCCGGCGACCGCCGACGGGGGCGGGCCGGGTGGGACAACTCCGGAGGTTCCTGCTTCCTGGCCGCCCACAGGTGAAGACTAAGACGTAAACAGGCGCTGAGCACGTGATCGCTTCGCAGACAAGTGGGCTGTGCTCCCCCACCCCCGCAGCTGGGCGAGGACCGGCCTCCCCAGTCCTGGGCGAGTCTGCAAGATCTCCTGCCGGGCTGTATTCCATTCTCCGCCTCGAGAAACGTTAAGCCTTCCCCCAGAAATGGGAGCACAACGCCCCCTGGAGTCCGGGTAGCACAGGACTAAAGACTGTAGGGCTCGGTGGGGTTACCTGGGCTCCTCTCTTTCCTTCACCCCAACATGTTCATGGTGCCCTCATCCCTGAAGGTATCGCTGGACGGCAGTGTACAGCAGCCCCCGCATCATACCTCCAGTCTGGGGAACAGCTGCCTGAGCGCCGGTGGGTCCCCTTCCTACCACCACCCCAACTTGCAGAACGGAGAGCTCCTCCTCTCACTGTAGGAACAGAAAGCCCACTCGTGCAAGAGTGGAAGCCCTCCATTCCCGGAGAATGCATGAGGGTAAATGTCCCCTAAATACGGGAGTGGGCCTATGTCCCTCGCCTAGAAGGGAGGATGAGCCCCCTCCCCCAGGGAATGAGGGAGTGGGCAGCAGCCCTGTGCCTCCTTCTCTGCCCCACCCTCCACCCCTCCACACATGCTGAGCCCAGCTGCTGCCTGAGCTTCTGGGCTGGCTGCCAGAAAGGGGAGGAGGCTCCTGGTCCCCCAAGAGGCTGGGATCAGGGCAAGGCCAGAGGAGGGGGTCTTTACTGGGGAGAGGGGCTCAGTCTGTTCTTGTGAGGATCAGGGTCTGGGGTGAGCCTGAGGGTGGTTGGGCTATGTCTCCCTTTCCAGGGAAAAAGAAAGAAAAACAACCCTTTCCATGGAGCTAAAAATAGAGCTGAGAGCTGGCCAGGGTTGTGGCCTGGAAGGGGGGGATGCTCCTTCCTGGGGCAGAGGAGCTCTGGCAGGCCTTGGCCTTGGGGGTGGGGATGCAAGTAGGTGGTGGGAGGAGCTCCTTGCCCAGGGGTGTGGGTGTCAGCTGACCTGACTGGGGCACAGAGACCCCTGGAGGAAGGTCTGTGTGGTAAAATGTTTGTGAAACACCACGTGTGTGTGTGTGTGTGTGTGTGTGTGTGTGTGTGTGTAAGTTGTCTGACTGAAGGAGGCCACCAGTGTGTGGAAGAGGCTTAGGAGAGGAAGCCCATTTAAAATTGTGTCTGTGTAGGAAGGGCTTTGAGTCGATGGGAAAGACTGTGCACAGCAAGGTGTGTGACACCCAGGTATGTCTGTGTGTGAGTTAGACTGAAAGATTATGGAAAGAAGGAACATGGAACCACGTGATGGATGAGATTGTGGTTGTGGCTGCGTGGGACTGAATGTGGGAAAGGTCGTGTGGGTGTTATGAAGACTGTGTTGTTTGCAAGAGGGTGAGACTATCTGTGACCCGAGAAGACAGAGGAGTGTTGTCAGCTGTGAGGCTGGTGTAGGTTTGGACTGTAGGTTTGGACCGCCTCACCCCAGTCATGGGGGGAGGGGGCAGGGGCTGCCTCTCTCTCCCAGCAGTGACCTCTCTCTTAACAGATGGTTCTGAAGGAAAGCTGGGGAGCAGACAGCCGCGCCCGGGGCAGTCCTGGGCTCGCGGGGTCGAGAGGGTACAGTGCTGGGGAGCCAGGTAGGGGCCCCCAAGGCTGGGGGGGCTGACGGTGTATTCTCCAAATGTGTCGCCAGGTGGCGCCACCTCCGCAAGTCCGAATATGCCTCCATCAACCGCTGGGGGTGGGGCAGGCAGGGCCCGAGCCTGGGTCCCCGACCAGTCCTGGGGAGCAGGGTTCCAGCAGCCGAGGCGGGGGGGCAGCTGACCCTCGGCGCCCCGCTCTGGACTCCGAAGCCGCAGAGTGTGTCTTGTGGGGCAGGCTTCGACCGGAGGAGCGGAGGGGGAAGGGCGGCCGCCGTGGCGCCTGGTCCTTTGTGCTCGAACAATGACCAGCTGCCGCTGGCCCCGGGGCCCGGGTAGGGGTAGAGGGTGACCCGCCGCCGCTACCGAGTCCTGAGCCGACCGGGCTTCAGAGGTTGGCGGGGGGGCGGTGATCCTGAGTCCCGCGGCGCGGCCCCCGCGTGCGTCCCGCCAGCCTCGCGTGACGCGGGGTGCCTGCGCGTGTCCGCGCCCGGGGCGGGGACGCCCCTCGGACCCCTCCCCCGCGCTGCGCCGCCCACTTGGGCCGGACGGGGGCCGGTCGGGCCGGGGGGCGCCGCGGAGGCGGGGCCGGGCCGGGCCGGGCGGCTCCGAGTGGCCGCGCACGGGCTGGAGCCGGGCGGCGCGCCTGTGGAGCGCTGGGGGCGGCCCGGGACTGAGCATGGAGCGGCGCGGCGGAGGTGAGGGGGGGCCGGGGCTGGGAGGCGACCTGGGGGCGCCCCCAACTTCTGCGCGGCGGAGGGCCGGTGGGGAGGCGGCAGCCCCCAGCCGCCCCCACTTAATGAAGCGGGGGAAGCGGGGGAGGCTTTAGAGGGTGGGTTGGGGGCTCCGGCTTCCTGTCGCGGAATGGGAACTCGTGATCTCAGACTTGATCCCGCTTGACCGGTCTTTGGAGTTTGGTGGGGGGAGACTTTCCCCAACTCTTCAGCCCCCAAAACAGGTTTGTGGGAGTTCAGCTTAGCCAGACCTGCCTCGGGCACTGGCTGAACCCAGCGCTCGGTGCCCCCAGCCCAAGGGTGTGTGTGTGAGTGTGAGTGTGCTGGGCCAGAGTGATTACTCAGGGAGTGCTGGGGGGAGCCAGGGGTTCCCTCTCCCACAGCCGCAACGCATTTCTCAAAATGGAGCCTCCACTTGCCCCTCCTTCTCTCTCGGGCTCCCGCTCTTGGAGCCGGGCTGGCTGGGCCTGGCTTTCCAGAGGCCTGGCCCTGGCTCCCTGGGTGTCTGGCTCTTAGGGCCCAGTTTTTATATCTCTTCTGGGTTAGGGGCCCCTGGCTTTGTGGGATGGGATTCAGGGACCCAGGCTCACTGGGTCAGCTTGTCTCCTTGTCTGCCTGACCCTGGGGCCTCTCTGAGTCTTTGTCTCTTGTCTTTGGGGTCTGTCTTTCTCTGAGTCTGTCTCTCTCTTGCCCTTATTTCTCACTTTCTCAGGGCTCACTGAAGTGGGCAAATGAGGACAGAGGTGCCGGCCTCCATTGCCCCCTAAGAATCCCCTTCCCCACAGCTTTCTCTGTGCCCTGGAGTGGTGTGGGAGAGGGCAGGAGATGGCATGTGCCCTTGGTAGTAGGCTCTACTCTTCCCCAGGTCCCAACCCCTAGCTTCTCCACCTTCAGTCTGGATACCTTCCTGGTTCTCAGGGTCCTTTGACTTGGTAGGGAGGTGGAGGGTAGGCCTAGCGGAATACCAGCCAGAAAGAAGGAGGCCAGAGTCAGATAATGTGTGTCTCCTTTCCCCACACTCCAGTGAGTGACAAGACCCAGGCTTCTGCTCACGCAGTTGGCCCTGCTTTCCCCCAGGCTCCTACCCACTCTCACACATGCTCTGTACACACATGCACACACACACTCCTCTGCGCGTACTTATGCACCCTCACTTTCCTCTTCGTGTGCTCATGTAAGATACGGGGAGTTTTACATATAAACTCATGTGTACCTGAAGGGACATCCGTCCAAAGACACTCAAGATAATTGAGCTCATACACCACAAATTCCCGTATCATATACACAGTTACTACTTTTACGTATTTCCTGAGGGATCCCGATGCATACTCGTACTCTCATATGACACGTTAATCTGCACATATGAATAATAGGAATGTATTGATACGGCTGCTCAAACAGGCACATACACACAATAATTCCTGACGTTTTCACACATTTTCACATCCACACACTGTTAAGGACTCATGCACGGTCTCACACGCACAGATAAGTACAAACACAAACTCCTGTTCCTCCGCAATTCTCTGTCCACTTCTTGGCCCCCGCTCTACATGATGACTTCAGCAGATGCCGGAGTCCTGGTCTTCGGCCTCCGGACTGGGGAGGGAGTTCCGGGTGGAGGTTTGCTGTCCCCTTCCGGGAAGGAGCAGAGCCTGGGGAGGTGGAGCCCTCTTCCCTGGGTTCCAGGGAAGGGAGATCTGTGAACAGCTGCTGTGATGGTGGGTGATGGTGGGGCTTCCATCCTCATCCCCTTGGGACTTCTCAGAGAATGTCTAAAGCCGGATGGTTTCACAGAACCAGAGGTTGGCGGCAAGCCTGTGTGGGCTCCTGTAGGCCAGACTCATTGGGTGTGGTGAGGCTAGGAGTTGGCATGGAAGCAAGCATGAGCCTGCATCCACCTCTAGAAGGCAGGAGACCCCAGAGGGCACCTGTGGGCTCCCTAAAAGCTCTGGGTTACTCGTTTGGCCAGCTCCACCCTTGCCGCCTCTCTGTCTGGGAGAAACTGAGGCCCAGCTCGGGGGAGGCTGGGCACTGCCTGGCCTTGGCTCTTTATTCGCTAATTACCATCTGAGTCGCTGTGTCCCTGAGGTTGCCTCTGCCCCAAGTACCCTCTAATGAGGCCACCTGTCCCAGGGGACTGCGAACCTGTGCTGGGCGTTGGTAGAGAACTCCCTCCTAAACTTGGCGTCCCAGCCTCTGGGAGGGATGCAGGTTTGGGCTGGGGCCCTGCATAACCACCAGTCCTCCCTTCCCCTCATCGTCTTTGCTTGGTAGGGTCAGCCCTTAGCCCTGTTCAGACCGGAGCTGGGCGGTGATCTGGATCCCAGGAAGATCTGAGTTTCCTGCCAGTGCTTGGAGAAGGAGCCCTGGGGGATCAGGGCATCATGGACTGATGTCAGGAAGCTGTTTGATGTAGGACAAGGGGTCAGGAGAGGGACTGAGGGACTTGTATAGGGAGGGGCTCAAGGTGAAAGGACTCTGACACCACTGCCCTGCTCACAGGTTCCCCTGGAGGCCCTTGGCCAGGCCTGAGCCTCTGTCGCCATGGCCATTGTACAGACTCTGCCAGTGCCACTGGAGCCCGCTCCTGAGGCCACCACTGCCCCACAAGCTCCAGCCATGGGCAGCGTGAGCAGCCTCATCTCAGGCCGGCCCTGCCCCGGGGGGCCAGCACCTCCCCGCCACCACGGCCCCCCTGGGCCTACCTTCTTCCGCCAGCAGGATGGCCTGCTACGGGGTGGCTATGAAGCACAGGAGCCGCTGTGCCCAGCAGTGCCCCCTAGGAAAGCCGTCCCTGCCACCAGCTTCACCTACATCAACGAGGACTTCCGGGCAGAATCACCCCCCAGCCCAAGCAGTGACATTGAGGATGCCCGAGAACAGCGGGCACGCAGTGCCCATCTCCGCGGCCCCCCACCCAAGCTCATCCCTGTCTCTGGAAAGCTGGAGAAGGTGAGGACCAGCCTTTTCTTTGGGGTCAGGGTGGAATCAGGAGCCCCCTGAAGAAGCTGGAATTTGGGGGCCGATTTAGAGGAGAGACGTGGGCTGCAGAGTCACCAGACCTGGGTTCCAATCCCAGCTCGGCCTCATTCCGGCTGCATGACCTCAGGGAAGTCACTTGACCTTTCTGAGCCCGAGGTTCTGTATTTGTAATGTGGATGCACCATGTCAGCTCTCCAGTGATGGTCAAGAGCATTCCATCACATGACGTATGTCGGTGTTGAGTCTGGTGCCTGTCACATGACGTGTGCTCAGAGGCGAGCTGCTCCGACTCCTGCGAATGCAACAGCTATGAATCTGACTATGAATAAGGCCTTTAACTTTGCCGAGCCTCCACTTGCCCATCTGTAATATGGGCGTAGTGATCATATTTTACTCGTATGGCTGTTGGGATGATCGGAGACGAGCCTTTTAAATGGCTTGATATAAGGGATGTCAGGAGGCCCTCAGCTGGTGGTAGCAGTTAGTATTAATGTGTGGGGATCGGGGACCCCAGATGGGAGGGCAGGGAGTATGACAAGGGCTTTGAAAGATCGGGCAGCTCATCCCCAGTGTCACGTGGCACCTCATTTCAGAACATGGAGAAAATCCTGATCCGCCCAACAGCCTTCAAGCCAGTGCTACCCAAACCTCGAGGGGCACCATCCCTACCTAGCTTCCTGGGTCCTCGGGCCGCCGGACTGTCTGGGAGCCAGGGCAGCCTAACACAGCTGTTTGGGGGCCCTGCCTCGTCCTCCTCTTCCTCCTCCTCCTCGGCTGCTGACAAACCCTTGGCACTGAGTGGCTGGGCCAGCGGCTGCCCATCGGGGACACTGTCTGACTCGGGCCGAAACTCACTGTCCAGCCTGCCCACCTACAGCACCGGGGGTGCCGAGCCAGCCAGCCACTCCCCTGGTGGGCACCTGCCCTCCCACGGCCCGGGGCGGGGGGCGCTGCCCGGACCAGCCCGAGGGGCCCCGACTGGGCCCTCCCACTCGGACAGTGGTCGATCTTCCTCCAGCAAGAGCACAGGCTCCCTGGGAGGCCGTGTGGCTGGGGGGCTCTTGGGCAGCGGCACCCGGGCCTCCCCTGACAGCAGCTCCTGTGGGGAGCGTTCCCCACCCCCACCCCCACCACCCCCTTCGGATGAGGCCCTGCTGCATTGTGTCCTGGAAGGAAAGCTCCACGACCGTGAGGCAGAGCTGCAGCAGCTGCGGGACAGTCTGGACGAGAGTGAGGTGACCATGTGCCAGGTGTGGCCAGCAGCAATAACGGGGGTGGTGTGGCAGGACATCCACAGGAGCTGGGAGTCCCAGGAGCATTTCCATGTGTGCTGGGGGGACACGGTAGGGGGTGGGGGGGCGCCGGTGAGGCGTCGGGGAGTCCTCCGCCCAGCTGTCTGGGCTTCACCTGCGGGGCGGGTGAGGATGCCCAGCCAGCACCGCCATTTATTGTCTTTCAGACTTGAGCGAGACACTTCACGGTGCTGAGCCTCGTTTTCCTCAGCTATAGATGGGGAGATTTCTGGCCTTCTGGGGTTATTATGAGGATTAAGTCAGGCAAAGGCTGTGGAGTGCTTAGAATGACGCCTGGCACCTAGGAATTCCTGCAGAAGCGTTTGCTATTCTGACGTTTCTAGAATCCTAGAAGTGGTTGTGACTAGAGTTACCCTACTTTTTCTCATGGCTGAGTGGAGTCTCTTGTCCCTGAGCCCAGCCATAGGCTGCCAGAGCAGTCGGTGACCTGGGAGTGGTGGAGGGCCATGGCAGGGGGTGCTGGATGTGGAGGGGAGCCGCTGGGACCCAGGTCTGCCTTCTGTCCCCAGGCCTACGAGGAGCGGCAGCGGCACTGGCCACGGGAACGAGAGACACTGCGGGACGACAGTGCCACCCAGGCCCAGCGGGTGCAGCGGGCCCAGCAGCTGCTCCAGCTGCAGGTGTTCCAGCTGCAGCAGGAGAAGCGGCAGCTGCAGGACGACTTCGCGCAGCTGTTGCAGGAGCGGGAGCAGCTGGAGCGGCGCTGTGCCACCTTTGAGCGGGAACAGCGGGAGCTTGGGCCGCGGCTCGAGGAGACCAAGTGGGAGGTGGGCCAGGCCAGGAGGGGCGGGGAGCGGGGCTCAAAGGGTCCAGCCATACCACTCCCCCTCCAGCCTCCTACTCCCAGAGATCCTCCCCGTCCTCACCTCCGGGAGATGAAGATCCCCCTCAAGCTTCCCTTTCTGGGTAGGGGGAGGGTCTCCTCGTGCCATCATTGTAGGTGTCCTTGGGTCAGGTCGAGTGCTCACATAGCCAGTGGCATTCCCATCCACTGCCTCCCAACCAGTAAGAAAAGGAATGTAGCCTGCTCTGCGCCCAGAACTTTCTAGCTGTTACTTAGAGTGGATCTTGCGATCCTCAGAGCAGCCCTGTGAGGTGGCTGTTGTTCATCTCCATTTCTGAGCTGAGAAGGCCTGGAGCCCGGAATGGTTGCTAGTCAGTGGCAGAGCTGAGATCGCAACCCAGGCCTTGTGGCTCCAGCGTCTGCGCGTTTCCCCAAAATGCTGGGGTGCCTCTTGGTGGCTCCCACGCCTGCACAACCTGCCACCAGCCAGTCCCTGGGGCTCTGCAGTGTGTCATGATGGTTGGAAGTCACCTGCTTTGAAGGAAAAAGATCTGGGTCTGCGTTTTACTTCTGCCACTTACTAGCCATATGACCTTGGACATGTCACTGGGCTCGCCTTAGTGTCTCTGTCCATGTAGTGGGTGTCAAGATCAAACAAACTGTCCCTGGAGAGCCCGTGTGATCTCGGGGCCCGAGCCTGTGGGAGAAAACTTCTCACCAGGCTTCGCGATCCCCTCCCACCCCTAGGTGTGCCAGAAGTCAGGTGAGATCTCCCTGCTGAAGCAGCAGCTGAAGGAGTCCCAGGCAGAGCTGGTGCAGAAGGGCAGTGAGCTGGTGGCCCTGCGGGTGGCGCTGCGAGAGGCCCGAGCTGCACTCCGGGTCAGCGAGGGCCGCGCTCGGGGCCTGCAGGAGGCGGCCCGGGCCCGGGAGCTGGAGCTGGAGGCCTGTTCCCAGGAGCTGCAGCGGCACCGCCAGGAGGCCGAGCGACTCCGAGAGAAAGCTGGCCAATTGGACACCGAGGCAGCCGGACTCCGGGAACTCCCCGGGCCACCTGCCGCCACGGACCCTTTCCTCCTGGCAGAGAGTGATGAGGCCAAGGCGCAGCGGGCGGCCGCCGGCGTCGGGGGCAGCCTGCGGGCCCAGGTGGAACGGCTGCGGGCAGAACTGCAGCGGGAGCGGCGGCGGGGGGAGGAGCAGCGGGACAGCTTCGAGGGGGAGCGGCTGGCCTGGCAGGCGGAGAAGGAGCAGGTGATCCGCTACCAGAAGCAGCTGCAGCACAACTACGTCCAGATGTACCGGCGTAACCGGCAGCTGGAGCAGGAGCTGCAGCAGCTCAGCCTGGAGCTGGAGGCCCGGGAGCTCGCTGACCTGGGCCTGGCTGAGCCGGCCCCCTGCATCTGCCTGGAGGAGATCACTGCCACCGAGATCTAGGGCCCTTGGCATCCCGGAGCAACAGGGAGCTTGACTGCAGTGGGGCGGGAACCTTGGGACCACGGAGGTCCCCCAGGTCTGAGGGCCCCAGAGCTGCTTGTGCCCCAAGATCCAGGCCTCTGGGCCTCTGCCAGGATCCTGGGGGCAGCCCTCTTACTAGGTTGAGCAAGATCAGCCCCCTTGAAGGTCCCCGTTTCACTGTCTCATAGAGGCTCCTACTCACTTGACCCATCTCACCCCTCCTTCTGCTGCCATTGCCACTCTGCCAACCGCATTTGTCCCTGACGAGGGGGTGGAGGGGCTGGGAGGAGGGGGGGTCCCTCTTTTCCACACTCTCCCCTACCCCAAAGCCAGGGAGAGCCAGACAGCACCAGCTGCTCCAGATGTGCCTGCCTCCTCTCTGCCTATGTTGGGGGTGGGGGGCCAGGGCTGGGACTGGGGTCTGACCCCCATGCTCCAGCCCTGCAGCCTCTCTCCTGGGGCGAGGGGGCTGTAGTCAGACCAAAGGAAGAACTCAGAATTGTCTTGTTTATTTGTGTTTGTCACCAAGGAGCCCCTCCCCACACCCAGGTTTATGGCCTCGTTTTCACTTGTATATTTTTCCACACTGTAAATTTCTTGTACAAACCCAAAGAAAAAAATTAAAAATTTTTTTTGTTTTTAAAAAAGACGAGTGTGCTAGGTAGAGATGGGAACTTCTTTGACCCCTACTCCCAGCTTCCCCTCCAATTTGCTGGCTATTCCCCTACTCCTCATAGAGGTCTTAGGGAGAGAAAGGGTGATAAGGGGAGGACAAATCCAGTAGAAAGTGTGGGGTCCTAGTGGACTACGACATGAAATGGTTTCTCAGGGTTTGAGAAACTAGAAAAGCCTTCTGTCCTGTCCCTTGCACAGAACACTACTTGGGGCTGGGGGATGGATGCTATGACCCTTCAAAGCCCTATCTGAGAGCCCAGGTTCCTCAGTGCTTGGGGGCATTAAAAGGAACATCAAGAGAAAGTGCCCATGAATCCCAAGCTCCAGACCTTGGCTTTCTCCCAATCTCTTCCTATCCTGGGAGTTGTGGGCAGTGAGCGAGTGACACAGGCTACCCAGGAGCACCTTGTCCTTGACACCACGTTATCTGGAAAGGGCAGAGCCTTAGTGATAGCTGGAGAGGGAAGAAGGTGGGGGGAGCTTTGGGAGGAGCCAAGTCAAGCAAGAGTGGGAGGTTCCTGAGTCCCAAGGAGGTTAGTAGGTGGGGTCTGGGAGATAGCAGAAGGGTCCTGAGAGTCAGTGGGAGGATCTGAAGTCAGTGGGAAGAGTCATGGCATAGGTGGGGGGGAGTCTGGGATTAGCATCAGGAGTCTCTGGAGGGCTAGAGAAGGGACTGGGCTGGCCCTCTGAAGGAGGAGCCTGGCATCGGTGGGAGGAATCTGGATTCTGGTGAGCAGAGCATTAATGGGAGGTTCTAGGAGGCAGTGGAGGGAAGGAGTACCATCAAGGGGTCAGTGGGCAGGGGAATGGTCAACAGGAGGGCGCTGATGAGTGAGGGCTGACAAGTCAGGGGGGTAAGGGTATTGGGCTGGTCCTAGGGACCCTGACCACAAGCTCCATGGGCTCCTGAGCCTTGTTTCGATAAGCCCGGCGGATGGTATCTACTGCTCGCTGGTGGGTCACCTGCTCCAGGCTCTCTCCATCCACTGCCACGAGCTCGAAGCCAGCCTGGGATGGGGGTGGGGAAATCACAGCCCTTCCTTCTCAGGTCATCCCACCATCCAACCTCTCACCTCCAGCAGCTAGGACACTCCTCCCCATCTGGGTGGAGAGGATGGACAATGGGACTTTTGTGCCTGGGGCCGTGGGGGGCAGGGTGAGGCACAGACAATGGCCCTTTGTCCCTTGGGGATAGGGGTGGAACAGGATGGGCCACCCTCAGGCCCAGGCTGGCATGAGGGGACAGATTTCTCCCTGGGCTTGTTCATCTTGCCGGCCTGACACTGGGCCCACTCCCCGCCAGACCTAAGCCTCCTCCCGTGACCTGGTTTAAACCTGCCTGGCTGGAAGATGAGCAGGTTCCGCCCCCCCACTCCCCAATTCAGCTCTGGACCTTGGGAGTGGGCTTGGGTACTCTTCACCCACCTGCAGGGCCCCACTGAGGAAGGCAGCCCCCCCAGGGAAGATCTTCTCTATCTTCACCATGGGCTGCACCTTGGACTCAATGCCCCCAGAAATGCTGATGCCTAGTGAGAGAGAAGCACTGGGTGAGTGTGTGGCCACTCCCCTCACCCCAGAGCTCCCAGAAGAAACCCAGCACCCCAGCACCAAGTCTTAACCCCAACTTCTCCCAAATCCCCAGATTCAGTTCCCACATAGTCTTTGACTCCAAAAATCCTACAGTTCCCACCCCCTCCAATCTCAAACCTCCCCAATAGACCCCCATATCCAAATCTTAATACCAGAACTCCGAGTTGTACCCCAAAACCAAGGCCAGGAACCTCATCCAAACCCAAGAGCCCCGTCTGCCAGGCCCAGTCCCATGTGGACTCACCCAAGGACTGCTTCATCTTGGACAGCGTGACTGTCCTCAGCTCCCCGCCAGGGGCCTTCTCGGCGGCCTCCATGGCTGTCCTGCCAGTTCCATTCTCAGAGTGGCCTTGACGGCTCCCTGCCTTGGCCGCTTGCTCATCCACAGGTCGTGGAAGAGGAGGCCTGGCCTTGCGAGGCTTGTGGTAGCGCCCGTCAGCGGCACTCGGGGTGGGGATAGGTGCTGGGGATGGGGAGCGCCTGCGTCCCGGGGACTTGCCTCGGCACCGGCTGCGGCTGCGACTGCGGCTGTGGCTCTGAGCCAGGCTCTGGCTCTGGCTCTGCCGTGGGTCCTCTGGGGTCAGGGGTTCCGTCAGCAGCCAGTTAGGCCTTGGGGGCCGGGGAGCGACAGGAGGTGGCTGGGGAGGGGGGGTACTGGTGCTTCGGTGTGGGGCGAAAGCATCTACTGGCACATCTTGGAGAGGGGGGATCCCTTTATGAGGATGGTGGGGAGCAGAGGCCCGCAGGGAGAGCTGGAGGCCCCCCAGCTGCTCCCTCAGTTCCCCATTGTCATCCTCCTCTGAGAAGCTGTTCACAGGCAGCAGGTAGAAACCTCCACGACTGTCTGGGGAGGAGGGCCAAGGTCAGGCTGCCCCTCCTCACCAGCCCAGGCCACCCTGCCAGGCTCCAGTCCTTGCCTTTGCTGGTGGAGGGCGCGTGAGACCCTGGCTTGGTTGGCTCAGGCCCTCCGGTGGTGTTCCCACAGGGAGGGACTCTGCCTAGATTCCCGGCTAACACAGTACTTTAAAGCTTTCTATCACAGTCTGTGTCTTAGAAAAAACATGACTCGCACACCAAACTGGTCATTTCTCAGAGATTATTACGTAGAAGGAAACTAGATTTAAAAAGTGAGTGGGTTTAAAACCAATTATTAAGTAAATAATAGTACAGGTAGTGAGTGGCAGTGATAAATGTGACTCTGGGGGACAAGGGATTTCCTTCAGGGGACCAGACGGCGTTCTGAAGCCATGACACCCTATGTGGGAGCAGGGATGGAAGGCCTGTTCTCCCTTCCCCGGTACCCCAGGGGTGTGCCCCCTTCCCCAGCGCTGGGACTCCGACTGACCAGGCACAGGTGTGATGAGGTGACGCTTGGGTGGTGTGTCCTGCCGGGCTGGTCTCAAGGCAGGAGGCCACACTGCTGGGAAAGGAGATCTCCTCAGAGACCTGGGCGCCTGCCAGGCTCCATGATGGACACAGCTGAAGGTCATATCTGCCTCCTCTCCCCTGGGAGGCCCTCTTGCCATCCCCAGCTGGGGCTCGGAATCTGCGTGTCCTACCCCCAGCTGCTGACCTGCCCGGCTCTTAAGGGCTTCAAAAGCCTCCAGCTCTACGGGCATCACCATGCTGTCGAAGCGGCCGAGGTCGGTGGGGGCCACCACGCTCCTGGGGGAGGGCGAGAGACGAGGGGTGGACAGGGGCACAGTTCTGGTGGGGTACAGTCGGGGGAGTTCTCCGGGGTCTCCTTTCTGCCCCCAAGCCCTCCCCACAGCCTCCACCCCACCTGATATCCCTCAGTAGCAGCAGCTTCGCAGGTCTGTCCAGAATGGCCAGCAGGGGCCTCACGAGGTCCTCCACGCCGCCCTCATGCACGTACTGCAGAGAGAGGTGCCGCAGGTCACCCAGCGGCCGGGACATCCAGAGCTGGGGGGAGGGGCTGCGTCGGCCTGTGGGGTTCCCCATGTTTAGGAAAGCTGCTCCCCATCCCCAGGCTGTCCCCGGGACAGGGCAGTGTTGGTGACTAGGGGGAAGACTGCAAGTGAGCTAACAGACTTATAATAGCTGGTGGGGGGGGGCAGCAACGGCTTTGGGACGGGCCCTTTTCCATCTGGTCTCTCATTTAGTGACGCTGAGAGGTAACATGAATTATTTTCATTTTACAGACTGAGGAAACTGAGGCTCAGAGAGAAGGACTTTGCCCAAGGCCACACAGATAAGGAAGTGTGAAAAGCGATCGGAACCTGAGAAGTCAGGCTCCCGCCACCTTCGGTGCCGGAAAAGGATGTGCGGGCAGTGGACTCTCCTCCCCGCCCCCACCTTCCAGGCAGAGGGAAGGAACCAGGGCCAAACGCTAGACTCTGGGCCCGCCTGGCCCAGCCTGTGTCTGCACAGTGACCTACCAATTAGGCTTTGTTCAGCGCTGGAATAGGAACCTTGGGGAAGGGGTGGCTCGACAGAAAGCCTCTCCAGTCAGTCCCCCGCGGGGGCGGGGGGTGAAAGCCCTGTTGCCTGGCACTGCCCGATGCCACCAGCCACACCCCACCAACGCAGACAAACTGGCAAACGGAACACTGGGAGCCTCCCTTTTTGGACAACACACTGCCCCCTAGTGGTGGAATGGAGACAAGTACTGATTCAGGGACACACACACACTCTCTCTTCATCCTGGAAAGGAACAAACACAGACAGCAAGCCCTGGTGGTCAGAGTGAGACATTATAAATTTCAGGAAATAAAATATAAACTATGTGGTCCTAAACACACACAAAGTTACAGGGACTCACACATACACGTGTCCAAAATACACCTCCTTATGTCTGGAGAGAGAGATCTATGATTGCACAGAATATGTCACATAGGTACACACTTCAAGGCCACAAATCTGCATTCAGCTCCTACTAAGTGTCACACCCTGTGCTGGCAGTGGGGGCACAACGATGAAGACCCTGTTCCAAATCCTTCAGAAGTCAGTCTAGCGGGAAACGTGGGGCAGAAGGAGCCAAGTGCCCCAGTGGACGACACAACACTGGCAGTGGGGCAGAGGGAATCTCAGAGGAGCGTGCAAAGTCCAGGATTGGCTTCCTGGAGGCAACGACTTTTACCCTGACCCCTCTTGGTGGGTTTGTTTCATTTACATTTACTCTTAAGGATACATGCAGGGAACAGCATGAATACTCAGAGGAAAGTGCCCTAAGGGTGGAGTGGAATAATGGATAGAAGGAAGTTTAGCTTGACTGCGGGGGTACAAGAAGGGCCTCCATGTAGGCTGCATAGGTTGGGACTGTGGGGTGAGTGGTGGCCCAGAGTTGTGCGGTTCATCACATGCGTAACCCTAGGCAGTGGCCAACAGAAGATGACGAGGTGGTGACGTGGCAACCACGGGAAGGCTGAGGTTCGTAGCTGGGGAGTCAAAGCAGGGAAGACCTTGAATGTGAGCCTGAGAAACTTTCTCTGTTCCACCAAAGGTAAGAGATTGCAAGGGGACTTGGGGAGTGTCAAGTGATCCAAGATGGGGTTTCTAAAGTCTGGCCTGGTGGCCGTGGAGAGCTGGCACAGAGGAGGAGAGAGAAGGGAGGCCTAGGGTTTGAGGCCACACTTTCGAGTCTTTAGGGGAGATTTACTAATCATTCCAACCAGAGCTCCACCCCAGAGGGTCTGATTGCTTTGGTGAGGCATGGGTCAGGTTTGGGGGGTATGCAGGTGCTGCCGGGGTGCAGTGAGAGGTGGTCCTAGCTTGGAGAGGGTGGGAGGAACCGAGGGCTGATGGAAAAGGAGCTGAGCCAAGAAATGGACACAGCGCGCCACCTAATGGCCAGAGCGCAGAGGTGCAAGCTCACGGAGGTTGGTGCTTGGGTTCCCACTCAGCACTGAATTGAGGGTGGTGACAAGAGTTTAGCCCAAAGGACCTAGGTGCCCCCCAACATGCACCCCATCTATGGCTCTGCTGTCAACCAGGCCTCGGGAAAGGGATGCATGAATTACCGCGTCTCAGTCTCCAGTTGATATGCACCTGCCTTAGCTAGACACACACACAGTTGCACGCAAACCTAGGTACCCCACAGACACACAATTGTACACATCACACAGACAAACAACACAGCCCCACTCCGACGAGGCTGAGGGCATGGGGGGAATCACAAGCGACTTCCTGGAGCCCCTGGAGCTTGTTCTTGCGTGCGGGATTAATGTGTGCCGATGCCGGCACCTCACGAGGACACCAGGACAGGAAACCCAGGGACTCTGAGACAGGACAAGAGCAGAGGGCCTTCTGATCCCCCTGGAGGGGGAGGCTGTGCCTCCCACAGCTTCCCCAACATCCAGGCCATAAGAACTCCCTCACATCTAACTTGCACTCCACCCTGGAGCCCCACTTTCTGTTTGAAGTAGGAGGAAACAGAACAACAGTGCAGATGCTGGGGGAGGCTTGAGGTGCGTGTGGGGGAGTGACAAAGGATTACTTACTTGGATAACAAGGGAGGTGGCGTGGCATCAGGTCGGGTCTGTGGGCTGACCCAGGTGTAGAGGGAGGCAGGGGTTCTGGGAAGAAGGCTGGGCTTTTGAGGAGCTCGAAGGCAGTGACCACAGAGACTCGTGTCCTCCGACTCATCACCTGTCCAGCTCTTTCTCTCCTTAGCTGAAACATCACCTGCTCAAGGAGGTCCTCCTAGACCACACCACCTAATTTGTACCTCTTGGGTTATTTTCTCCTGTTCTTTCCTTTCCTAGCACTTGACGTGATTTGTCACTGTGGGTATTTAGGTTCTAATTATTGTATCTCCCCTTCCTGTCTGTGAGCTCAGTGTGTGTGTGTGTGTGTGTGTGTGTGTGTGTGTGTGTGCGTGCGCACGTACGCATGTGCACGTGCGCAACAGGAGTGACTTCTGCTTTTACCGACCACTGGCCTCACGGCATCAAGCCCAGATACTGACCAGAGACCGTGGCCTGAATGAATGAGGGACTGGGTGGCTGGGTGACCGCGGGCTGGAGCTGGGGGCAGGCCGGAAACTCACCCGGGAGCAGTGGCGGGTGATGGCCAGCACTTCATCGTCAGTCAGCAGCCTTCGGGCCAGGTCCTGAATGAGAGGCCGTCGGCTCTCCCAGGCTTGCACCTGCTCATCCATGCTGGGCAGCTGGCTGGAGGGGCTACCTGACCTGGCAGAGAGCAGGGCCCGGCCCCTCTCCCGCTCTGCAGGGAAGGAGCAAAGGCATATGATGACGGAGCCAGGAACCCTCAGGGGAGGAGACAGGGGCTTCTCTCAGAGGGGTCAGACTCCAGAACAGGTCAGATGAGAGGCCTAGGTACTGCTGACAGAATCCCAGCCTAGCCCCAGATCTCCCCACCGTGGTCTCCCATAATGATCTGCCCAGCAAGGGTAGATCCAAGCCAGACCCTTTGGCCCCCAACACAGACCCCTAAACTAGTCTGTCCCTTGCTGGTGTCCTATGAACAGTCACTATCATAGTACTCAATGGAGCTCTGGCCCAGGCTCCTTCATTCCCCAAAACCTGTCTTTAGGAGTCCCTCCGAGTACCCAGTTCTCAAAAATGCACCCCAATATCTCTCTGCAGCCCTGTCCCTCCTGGTAAGCTTAGCCCAATTCTTTAGTTGCCTCCAGTATGCACTCAATCCCCCATGCGTGACCCCAACTGAGTTCAGCCCAAAGCCCGTTAATTGCCCCCAACATGCACCCCATTTGCGGCTCTGATGTCAACCAGGCCTCGGAAAAGAGATGCATGAATTACCGCGTCTCAGTCTCCAGGTGACAAACTTCTGCACGGGCCCCACTGCCCCTGCTGTGGAGAAGAAAGGCTCAGTGGCGGGCCCTGGCTCCCAATCTGAACACAGGGCTTGGGGGGCTCAGGGGTGGCTGGATCACCGGCTGGAATGAAGAACTCAGGCCAGAAGGAGGTAGAATGGGGAGGCAAGAGGCCAGGCCATGGAGGTCTTCAGGGACCACGGTCCCCTAGGGACTTCATTCATAGGCCGTGGGGAATCAGTGAAAGTTTGAGATCAAGAGAGGGTGCAGTCTGGGTTCTGCTTGTGGAAATTCATTTAGAAGCAAATACATGGAGGGAAGAACCCCAAGAACAAAGCTTGAGGGAGCACCTACCTTCAGGGGACAGAGAAAAAAAGAGGAGCCTTTGGAGGAGAGAGAGGGGTATCCAGAGGGATAGGAGAAGCATCAGGTGAGAGCAGGGCCCGGGGGGCTGTGGAAAAAGAGGTGGGTTGAGGAAGTGGGGCTGGCCCGGCCAGATCTGAAGAGCTTGTCTCTTCTGTGGGACTCTCCCCTTAGCCTCCCAGTAGGGGCTGGGTCCAGATCCTCATTCCATCATTGTTTTTGCCTACCCAACCTCCACTCTCCCTCCACAATCATCTGGGGACTTCCATTCTCAGTCCATGGGCTCCAGAGTGGGTCTGTGACCGAGGAAGGCCCATGAAAGCACCATGGGCCTGCCCCATTGGGCATGTGGCCCAGCAGGCCAATGAGAGCCTGGAACTTCAGCGGGACCTCTTTAAGAAGCTCTCCTCTGTCCCTGGGTTGCTAAGCGGCAGTGCCATCTTCCTTCTGAGTGGGCAAAACCTGCAGGATAATGAAGCCAACCCAGGGGAAAGGGGAACCAAAGATGAAGGAGACAGATATCTGATGAGACTGTTTAAACCTTTAGACCTCCTTACATCAGTAGCTGAGCTGAGAAGTGCTTTTAAACCTAATTTGAGTTGGGTTTCTGTCCCATACAACCCCGAGAGCCTTACTCATCCACTTGTGGTCCAGTCTTGGAGCCTCACCTGAGAGACAAGAGGCCTCTCTGAGGGTCCATTGGAAGCCCCTGTCTTAAGTGAAGCCTGCCCAGGCCCTTCCACTTGGGCCCTGATCTAGAAACAGCCTTGCCCAGGGATAATTCTAGAACTGGGTAGGTAGGGTCTGTGGAGCTCTGGCCAGGGGAGGTGAAGACAAATATTCCAGGAGAGGCATGCCCTACCCACCTCAGCACAGAGACCTGACCCAAGTCCTTCAACTTCCTGGCTAGGCTGTGGCTCTATTAGTTTTCCTTTCTGTAAAGTGGGGAGATGAGACAGTTTAACAATGACCACTACGTTTTCTGAGGGCCTTCTGTATGCCAGACAATGTCCTTAAGTGATTTACATACAACCATTCACTTATTCCTCACCATTCCTGAAGAAATAGGTAATCATTACTCTCACACGACTCATGAGCAAACAGGCTTATGGGGGCAGGTAGCGACTCCCAGCTGGTAAAAGGCAATGCAAGAGTTCAGCCCAGAGCTGCTGGATGCCAAAGTGGGCTGTACCGCCTTCCTCCCCGTCTCTCATCCTGCTTGCTTACCTTTTTCCAGGTCTAGGCGAGGGTGGGGCTTGGCTGGGCTCCCTCCATCCAGCGTCCAGGCCTCTCTGTGCCCATCACCTGCCAGCCGCCCCTGCCGCCCTCCCTTGAAGAAGAGGTTCATCAGTGTCTTGGAGCGCTGCAGGGCCCCCTTTTCCCCAGAGGACCCCAATTTCTTCTTCCGCTGCTTCTTCTCCTCTGCGGACATGAGGGAGCACCCAGGGAGCTGGGGTGGTGGGCAGAAGGGAAGGCCGAGGGGCAGGGGTGTGAAGAGGGGCAGAGAGGAGGGACAGGAGGGGCAGACAGGACCCCCAGCCTTATGGGGAGGTGGGGATGGACATAGATGGGCTTCCTCCTTCACATTCCACCTCTCCCCCACCCACGGTTCCAGCTTTGTGAGGACTCTCCGAGAAGGCCAGGGTATGTGTGTCTGTGCCTGTGTGTGTGTAGGGTGGCGGGGATGGATTAGGGCTGGTTTGGGGCCCAAAGCTGACAGGAGCTGGGACTGGATCTGAGGGTAGGTTTGGGGCCCAGGACCAGTTGAAAATGGTGCCCGGAGTGGCATCTGAGTGCATTCTGGGGCTGGAAATGAGGCCGAGTCAAGGCCTAGAGCCAAGGGAGGGCCCAGGGCTGGATGTGCGGCAGGCGTTTTACTGGGAGCTCTGGAGAGAGCATCAGCCGCCCCTTCCCTACATACCCCACAAGGTCAGGTGGCTCTGGGACCTCGTGATAGGGGGCCGCGGCCGGCTCAGGGCCAGCAGCAGAGCAGTCTTCGGGGACTCGGAGAGTGCAGAATCCAGGTGGCGGGCAGGCCAGGGTCCGTCGGAGCGGATGGCAGTGTCCCTGAGGATGACGGTGGGCCTCACGCTGCACCAGGTCTCCACGTGGCCCCCCACATCAGGCTCTGTCTGCATGGCTGTGTCTGCCCGCCCCCAGCCTGGGCCCCAGCTGCCCGGCTCGTCAGGCCCCAGGCAGACATCCATGCGGTCGGAGGGCAGGGAGCCTGAGGCCTCAGCGGAGCTGTAGGGGGCACTGGAGGCATAGGAGGAGACGCTGGAGCTGCTCTCAGAGACCGGGGACAGCTGCTGCAGCACCCCGTTGCTCACTGCAGGCAGTGGAGAAGGCAGGGGCATCTCAGGGGGAAGGCCGGTCGGCTTCGGGGCCCTGCCAGGGTTGCAGACCACCTTGGGTATGGGGGTGGGTGAGTGTTGGGTAGCCTCGGAGGCTGGAAGCACGGGCTCTGGGGAACCGGCGGCTCAGCAGTCTGCCCCTGACTTGTTGATAGACCTTAGGCAAGTCCCTTCTCCTCCATTCACGGCAACCCCCCACCCCCACCCCACCTGGGACTCCAGAGCCAGGGGAGCTGGGAACTGAACCTGCAACTTCCAGAGAGGAGCCCAGAAATAGCTCCGGGCAGTGAGGAAGTCCCACGCAGTTTGCTCCTCCTGCCCAATTAGTCCTCAGAGACTCTGACCCACTGTCAGGCCTCAGCCCTTTCCCTCCAACCCAGGGCCTGAGCCACTTACATCGGTCCAGCCAGCAGTACTCAGAAACCATCTCTTTGTAGGCAGGGTACCGGCCAGTCTCCTGGGAAGATCGTGATGGGCATAGGAGGGCATGGGGGAGTAGGTGAGAAGGGGGTGGGTGAGAAGGGGGGGTGATGGGACAGGAGTAAACTTTCCAACTCCATCTCTCTCCTCCAAGTTTATCATGCTCGAGACAAATGGGCCACTTTATGTCTGAACATGCCAAATTCCTTTGTAACTCAGGGCTTTGTATTTGCTGCCCCTTTGGTCTGGATTCTCTTCCTTCCTCCTTCCACTCATCTTCTGGCTAGCTCCTTCTCCCTCTTCAGGTGTCAGCTCCCTAGAGAGACCTGCCCTGACCCCCCAGGCTAAAAGCACCTTCCTCAACGACCCCTCCCATTTCTCTATTAATTTCCTTACGGCATTTGTCAGTCAGCATGCATCCTGTTTGCCTGGCTCCCCCCACCCCAGTACCCCCCACCCCTCGTAGCAGAGCCTTCTTCTGTCTTGCTCACTGTTGTAGCCCCAGCACCTGGCAGAGAGGCTGTCATGTGGTACATACTCAAAAATGTTGAATGAATGAACGAGGGGCAGCGTAGAAGAGAGGAGGAGTGTTTGGGATCCTGTGAGAGGAAGGAAAGGGAGAAACGGGGTGGGGGGTGGGTGTTGCGGGATAGGAAATCAAGTGGCAGAAGGCGGAGGAATGGCAGAGGAGGCCCTGAAGAGCGAGATGAGTGAAAGCTAGTGAAGGGAGGAGAGCAGAGCAGGGCCGGAGTGGGGCCGGAGTGGGTGCCAGTGGAGAGCGAGCCGTCCCTGCCCCTGCAGCCAGAGTGAGAATGACATGATCCTCAGGCAAGTGTGAGACCCACATGAATCATGAATGCAGGTGCCTCCCCTGAAATCCAATCTCTGGGCCCAGCCCAGCCTCCTTGCCCTGTGCCCAGGCCCCTCCCAAAGCCACAGCTAGTGCCCACCCTCTGGGCAGGATGCTTTCTCCTTCCACACCTGCACCTCCACCACTCATCGGAAAGGGCACTGCCCTCCATGTCTGGGGAGCAGGATGGTAAGCAGGTCCTGCTGCTGGCCAGCTGAGGAAGTGACTGTGATTCCTGAATGACTCTGCCTCTCTGAGCCTCGGTTTCTTCTTCTGTGCAGTAGGGATGAGCACAGTGTCTGGCCCTCTCAAATGGCTATGGAAAAGTCCTAAGTTGTAGGGCAACAGGTATTAAGTACTAGAGAGGTCTGGGAAGTCCTTCCTACAGTCTGGCCTCTCCCTGACACCCACAGTCCTGCCCACCTTGATGGTCAGCATGATGTGTGTTTGGCCCTTCAGCACCTCCACGGCCTGGCTGTGGCTGATGTCGTCGAACCTGACGCCGTTGGCCGCCAGGACCTGGTCCCCCACCTTGATGCCATTCTCCTCGGCCAGCCCACCATGATCCACTCTGGGGTCAGACAGGAGGCAGTCTGAGAGGCCACCTGGCCTGCCCTCCCTCACTTAGATACAGGAACGCCCCAGCCAAAATCCTTGACCCTCCTCCTGGAGCCCCCCAGCCCTACACAGGCCCCACCCCTGACCTAGGCCCTCCTTGGATCATGCGGTTGGCTGAGCCTCCTCTGCCAACCTGTCCCCACTGCACACCCTGCCCGAGACCTCACTTGGACACATAGATGCCCAGGCCAAACTCCTTGCCCCCACGGATGTTGAAGCCCAGACAGAAGTCGTCCGACGTGGTGTACAGGTGGACAATGCGGCGCACGCCATCCTCCGAGCCGCTGTCTGACGGCGTCGAGCTGCACTTCTCCACCACCAGCCGCCGATTCACCACGTCCACCCTGGGACAGCAGCAAGCAGCCATCAGTCTGGGCTCCCCCAGGCCACCACCAGGCACCCCCTCTCTTCCCAGCATCCCCGACGACTGCACAGGTAAGGGGAGGTTGCCTTGGGGGACTCCCCAGTCCTGAGCCCTTCAGTGGGAAGTCCCCTTCATCAGGTGGGGAAACCGCCCCAATTTCCTCTCTCTGTGGAGCAGCCCATTGTGCCAGGGCCCCTCTCACATCCCCACAAGAGTGATGAGGGTGAGGAGCTGTTACTATGCCCAGGCTCCCGGGAGCGATGACAGCATTGGGGGCAGGACCGCTGGCATCTGGGACAGAGCTGGGAGGAGAGCTGGGGGACAGACACAGCCTTGTCTCATTGCAGTGTCAGGCCTTGGGATCGCTGTGTTTCCAGCGCCGGGACAGAAAGAGCGGGAGCCAGGGATAGCCAAGTCCCACGCAGAGCCCTTTGTCTCCTGCCTCTCCTGCCATGGGCTGGGTGGGCTGGACAGGGTGGGGCAAGGTCAGGGCCGGGGCTAGGCCTTCTCACCATGTGGTCTTCTCCTTGGAGAACCTGATGCCCGGCACTCGGCCCATGCGTCTCACCGTCAGGTGCAGACGGCTGCTGCCCGTGAGCACTTTCACGGCGCTGCCCATGGTGGTGCTTTCCAGGCTCAGCCCATTCACCTCCGTGATCTTGTCCCCCACGCACAGGCCAGCCTGCTCTGCACCAGGGGAGGGAGGCAGCTGGCATGGGCCTCTTGGGACAATTCCCCCAGGGCGAAGCTAAGCCTTCCACTGCCGCCCCCCCAACCAGGCTTCCTTCCATGAGATTTGGGGTCCCCAGATGAGGTCTGGGTATTCCTCATTAGACTAGGGACTTGTCCATTAGCCCACTCCATCTGGGGAGACGGCCCCATTTCCCCATTGGATCAGTCCCTCCAAAGCTGAGGACCCTTTCCTGTCATCCCTGAAAATAGGACTCCAGAACCCCAGTGAGGTGGGGGCTCATACCCTCAGCCAGCACCTCCCTTCAGGGGGCCCTGCTCACCTGCACTGCTCCCCTCCTCCACCTTGCTGACGAAGATGCCCAGGCCGTGCTCAGAGCCGCCCCGCACGCTGAAACCCAGTCTCCCCGCTGGACTCTTCTCCACCCGGACAGCTCGGATGATATCGCTCTCATTACTGTTGGCTGTGTGGTGGCGGGAGCAGGGAGGGACACGGGCATGACTCCCATGTCCAGTCTGGGCACAGAGGGCCCCTGGGTTTCCCAGTTTGGGCTGGGTTGTTAGGCACAGATACCTAAGGCCCTAAGGCCTAAGGGCAGCCAATATCTGAGTTCCCTACCAGTGACTTTGAGAGTATGGATCAGGGAGAGAGTATGGAACAAGCAGGACAGGGCTCCATATTAGAAGATGCTCTTCTCCTTCCCTGATTATATAGGGTGGTGTGTGTTTCTGGTGCTTACTAAGCTTCTCACTCCCACAGGCCCGGGATAGAACAAATTCCTAAAACCCCTGCCACTCTGAGGGTCAGATGGATAGAAAAGAAATTCAAGATTCCATTCTATGGGGCAGAGTTGAGCCAAGTTTGAGCTCTTCATCTTGAGCAGAAAGGAGTATTCGAGCTCTGTCTTCAAATAGTTGAAGAGCTATTCTGTGAAAGGCATTGGATGTTTTTGTCTGTGTAACCCAGATGGCGGAACCAAGCTCAATAGTGGACTTCGATGGAGGCCAATTTAGTAGGAAAAAACTTTCTAAAACCTTCAGCCGTCAGACAATGTAATGAGTTTTCCAAGAGAGTTAGTGAATTCCCCATCTTTGGAGGCATACAAGTTGGCACTTGATAAATCCCTGTCTGGGGTGTTGTAGAAGGATCTCTGACGCCCCTTCTATCTCTTAGACTCTGTGATTCTGGAGGTAAGAGCTCAAGGAGCTACTTGACCAGATGAGGAGGGAAACCCAAAACACCACTCTGCTGCAGTATATGCCCAGAGCCCCCAGAGTGGTCCTCTCCATCAGCACTGGGGAACATCCGAAAAGCAGGCTTCCCAGGAGCTGCAGTTGCCAGGGAAGGTGTTTGGGAAGACAAGATAGGTGGGATTTCAATGAGTGGAGCAGAAAGGGAGGGCGCTGAGAGGGAGGGGATGGAGTGAGCAAAGGCTTTGAGGTGGGTCCTTGAGAAGGTCTTTGGTTAGAAAAGAAGACTGGAGAGGGAAGCTGGGTCCCAGGTGAGAAGGTGAGATTTCTTCTTGGGCAAGGCTTACTCTAGAGGTATTTGAGAGGGAGAACTCTCTCTGTCTCTGTCACACACACACACACACACACACACACACACACACTTCTGCTTGATGTATGAGAAATCAGGTTACAATACATGACCAGAGCAGCTCAGGAAGAAATCTCCAAGGGCAGCCTGTGGGTAGGGGATGGTGCAAAACAGATATGTGTGGCATCCTGAGGCTTCCTGCCTGATTCTGTCTGCACACATCTCAACCCAGCACAGGAGTCTGTGGCTCTCCTGTCCCTCAACCCTCTTTTTTCTCAGTTCCTCCCTGGGCCCTTCCTAGGGCTCTGGGCCAGTGGGCTGCCAATCTCTAGTGTTGAACATAGGAGCTTGGGGCCGTTGAGGATAGAAGCTTCTCTACCTCCACTGGCCTACCCCTGCCCACTGACCTCCCCCTCCGGGAGCTCACAGCCTCCTCACTGTCTTCACTCCCAGTCTTGCCCCCTTTAGGCCATTCTCTACACAATGGCCACAGTCAGCTTTTACAGATCATGCCTGCTTATTAAAAACTTCAGTGCCTGCTCCTGCTTCTAGAAGGAACTCCACAGTCCCCTAGGCCCAGTAAGGCCCTCCATGGGCTATCCTCAGCCCACCTCTCTCCCTTCACCTCTGGCCACCATCCCAACCTCATTGAGCTCTGGCTACACTGACCTCTCTCCTATTCCTCTCACAGGCTAATCATTTCAGTGTTCCCTCAATCTGTGAAACTCTTGCCCAGACCTTCATAAAGCCAGCTCCCAATCTGCAGCCCCTCCTGGCCCACACAGCACTTTCTCTGAGAAGCTTTCCTGGTCTACCCTCCCTGAAGTCCCTTCCCTTCCTCCCAGGTGACCTCTATTAGAGTGATTCTCAAACCGTGCCCCCCAGGCCATCAGCAGTACTTAGGAACTTAATAAAAATGTGTATTCTTGGGGTACCTGGGTGGCTCAGTTGGTTAATCAACTGACTCTTGATTTCAGCTCAGGTCATGATCTCAGGGTTGTGGGATCGAGCCCTGCAACAGGCTCTGAGCTCAGTGTGGAGTCTGCTTTTCCCTCTCCCTCTGCTCCTCCCCCTGCTCTCTCTCAAATAAATACATTTTTAAATTTTTTTTTGTTTATTTATTTGACAGACAGAGATTAAGTAGGAAGAGAGGCAGGCAGAGAAGCAGGGGGAAGCAGGCTCTCCGCTGAGCAGAGAGCCCGATGTGGGGCTTGATCCCAGGACCCTGTGACCACGACGCGAGCCAAAGGCAGAGGCTTTAACCCACTGAGCCACCCAGGTGCCCCAATACATTTTTTTTAAGATTTTTTAAAAATTTATTTATTTGACAGACAGAGATCGCAAGTAGACAGAGAGGCAGGCAGAGAGAGAGGGAAGCAGGCTCCCTGCTGAGCAGAGAGCCTGATGCGGAACTCGATCCCAGGACCCTGAGATCATGACCTGAGCCGAAGGCAGAGGCTTTAACCCACTGAGTCACCCTGGCGCCCCCCCCCAATACATTTTTTTAAAGTGTATTCTTGGGGCATCTGGCTGGCTCAGTCAGTAGAGCATGTGATTCTTGATTTCAGGGTTGAGTTTGAGCCCCAATGTGGTAGAGATTACCCCAATGTGGTAGAGATTACTCAAAAATAAAATCTTTAAAAGAAAAGTATATTTTTAAAAAAATGTGTATTCTTGGGCTTCGCTGCAGGTGCCCTGAATCAGAGGCTCTGGGTGTGGGACCCCAGCAGCTTATCTTTTCACAAGCCCCCCAAGCAATTCTGATGTCTTCCCAAGTTTGGGAGCCACTACTCTATCCTACCATGCAAATTAGTGCCTCCAAGGGTCTTACCATCCTTTCTCATGACTGGCTTGCTCACATATTATTTATTGTCTGTCACCTTTCACTAGATTATAAGTTCACTCATGGTAGGGACTTTGCAATCCTTTTCTGCCAATGTATCTCCAGTATGTTGCACAACACTTGGTATCTGCCAAGGATTTTTTGAGTAAGTAGAAGAATAAATGGATGAAGGAGAGAGGGGAGGAAGGGCTGGTTTGGATCAGAGAATGAATTTTCTCTGGGACCAGCTGAGTTTGAGGAGCTGGTGGGAAGTCATGGGGATGAGGTGGGTCATGGTTTCTCCCTCCCCACTGTGTCTCCTTATCAGTTACTTTAGGCCTCTGGAATGGTCTAAATAGTAACAAGGAGGAAAGGTTCTGGGATGCAGTGACTGGGGAGATGTTTGTGCTCAGGCGGAAGGGAAAATTCTGAGCTCAGGGGCTCGCAGCCCAGATAGGGTAGGGGCCGGCTGGTGGAAGTCTGTCTGGCCCTCCCCTTAGCTGCAGGAGCAGGGCTCGAGGGCGAGGCAGTTGGATGGAGCCATCCTGGAACTTCTGCAAGAGCATCTTTAGGGAGAGAGCGTACAGAGCCGTCACACCATAGTTGGGGCATTGTCTGGGGGGCTGTGTGAGGGGGATGTATATGTTCTTTTAATACAATGGGACCTAAAAAGGTCATGCCCCAATCCGTTCCCTGTCCCCTACCACGTTCCTTAGCTCCTCTGCGGACTTTTGCTCCGTGACCCGAGTGACAGTGGTAACTCTGAGTAGTGCCTTGGTGCTCATTGGGGTGGGGGAGACCCAGCACGGTAGATGATGGGAGTGAGCAGGCGTGGGCCATTGGTGCAGGAAAGCCTGCACCCTGAGCACCCCAGCAGCCGGGGTAAGGGGACAGGGATGCCAGCTGGGTCAGAGGGGAGGAGATGGGTCTGAAAAGTCCACTCTGGGATCCAGCCAGGGGAGTTCTGCAGGCTGGGAAACAGAAAGGAAGCTGGAGATATTTATGACATCTGTCCCACAGAAAGCCCAGCCCCAGGGGGTGCCCATTCTGCTCCCCACCCCTGCTGCCACTCAAGGTCCTGCCTTGTTCACTGCCTCTTTGTCGCCTCACATCTGTCACTGCAGCCAGGCTGTCTCCTAATTGCCCCCCCCCCCGCCCCAATCGGGGCCTCGGCCCTGTGCTCTCGGTTTCCACTTCCAGCCCTGTCTGGGAAATCTCCATCCCAGCACCAGCTGCTCTCATTGCTCTGTCTCTAAGCCCCACTACACTGTACATTTCTGGAAGGTGAAGATTGACCCTCATTTTTCTCCAGGCCCCCCGCAGGACCTGGTGTAGAGCGGGTGTGCAATGTAACAGTGTGAAGCAACTGTGTCAGATCAGGTAACCCCCTGGTTAGGGGCCCAGGCCTAGGGCTCCCTTCTGGACCCTCAACCCTCCTCCTCTCCCCTCTCTTTGGAACATTTACTACCCTACCTCTTTCTTTTCTTCTGCATCTGAAATCTTTTTTTTTTAAATTATTTACTTATTTTACATAATCTCTACACCCAGTTGGGGCTTGAACTCATGTCCTGAGATCCAGAGTCACGAGCTCTTTGGACTGAGCCAGCCAGGCACCCCTGCACCTGAAATCTTTTTTTTTTTTTTCTAAAGATCTTATTTATTTTACAGAGAGAGAGAAATCACAAGTAGGCAGAGAGGCAGGCAGAGAGAGAGGGGGAAGCAGGCTCCCTGCTGAGCAGAGAGCCCGATGCGGGGCTCGATCCCAGGACCCTGAGATCATGACCTGAGCTGAAGGCAGAGGCTTAACCCACTGAGCCACCCTGCACCTGAAATCTTTAATTCTGTCTCCCCAGTAGTCACTGAGTCCTCACAGCCCAGCATGGAGCTGGTCACACACTGGTTGATTGATGGATAGAGGCTTCTCCATCCTGCTCCCCCAAGCCCATGGGGTGAACACCAAGGGACAGGAGAAAGGCGGAGTCCTTAGGATGGAGCTGCCCATTCCATAGCCTACCTTGCTGGCTGGGGAGCTAGCACATCACACACAGCTGTCCCTGCCTCCACACTCCTATCTCCCCCCTCCCACCTCTCTACAATCCTGCAACCCTATAGTGTTGGCCTGAACCTGAGGAAAGGGCTGATGAGGAGGAGTGTGTGGCTAAACAGGGGCCCTCCACGCCCCACTGCTCTAAGACTCCCATCTCTCCAGCTCCTCCTCCCAGCGGGGCCCTTACCCCCACCCTCAGCGCCAGGCCCGAGGTGAGCCCTGCTCGCACCTTCGATGGGGGAGTTGATGAGGATGACGCGGCCCATGGGCGATGAGGCTCGGATTCCGCGGGGGGGCCCGTTCAGCAGCCGCTGCTGCCTCTTCAGCAGGTATCGCGTTGCGGAGCCCGAGTCGCTGCCCAGGTGGCCGCGGGAGGAGAGGGAGCTCAGGGAGCCCGAGCTGAGGTCTCTGAGGCCCAGTGGGTCAAAGCCCACTGCAAAACCCTGCGCCATTGTGGCTAGCCTGGGGCGGCGCCCTACAAGTCCAGAAGGAACCTGCTAGCCCTTGTGAGAAGGGACCTGCGTGCCCCCCGGCTCCATGAGCCTTCTGTGCGGGGCAGGGGTCTCAGTACTGGGAGCGCCCCACCTCGGCTGCTTCTCGGGAGTGTGCGCTCCAGGCCTGCTGATGGAGAGCAGGGATGGGGACAATGGTGTAATCGCTGCCCTCGCTGCCCCCAGAACTTCCACCCTGGCCCTGATTTGAGCATCCTGTCGTCCCATGCCTTAGGCCCCTCTCCTCTCCCGCCCCTGGCCCAGTCCAGGCACCATCGCAGACTTTCGGAGCCATTTCTACAAGGCCAGTGGGAGCCTCTCATTCACTCTTCATTCTGGCTCTCAGCTGAGTCATCTACCCCAGTGCCCAGTCCTGGGTAGAGTGGAGATGGATTCTTGCGGGCCCTAGGGCTTCAGATGGTGTGAAGGAAATTGGGGCCAGGACAATTCCCTGCACACCTCTCCTTGTGTTTGTGGGTAGGGGGCTCGGGTCTCTAGGGCAGGGCTTCAGGACCTGGGACAGCTGCAGCCAAGGGTCCCAGAGATTCCCCGACCACCATAGCTTCCTTGGTCCCATGCTGCTGTCTCCTCCGTCCCCCTCCTCTCTCCTCTAAAGAGGTGGCCTGAACCTCTCCCAGGCTTTGGCGGAGGACCTGCAGGCTAGAGCCCCACAACAACGCGCACAAAACCCGTAGCCAAGTCCCCCAGAGCAGCTCTGGGACTCAGAACGCAGCATCCCACCCTCGGGTCGGTCTTCTCGGCCCCCACCTCTCCAGCTTGGCTCCCCTCACCTGCTCGCTGGTGCGGCCGCCGGCGGCCTCCCCCGCCCGTGGGCGCCCGCGTGCGCAGCAACCGGGGGAAACCTCGCCCGCGCTCCGCCCAGGCTACGGGAGTAAGGCCGGCCTGCGTAGGTGCGGGCTCCCATTGGCTGCGACAGCCGCCAGTCACTGCCTCCGTCCCCTCCCTTGGGCGCGCAAGACTGCAGTTTGTCACCTGGGTTGAGGCCGCTGGGTTCTGCCCGCTGCAGTTCGAGTTCTGATGCCTTCCCCCGCCCCACGAACTTAGGGTTTGGGTCACGCCTCGTCCCCTCCCGCTACGGGTTCAGTGCAGGGGAGCCCAGAACCGCTTCTTCTCCAGGCCAACCCAGACACTAGGGCTCTTGGAATTGCCACCCCTCCGCGTCACCCCCAAGGCATCAGTGAGGGAATGGCACTTGGGCAGAGGGAGTGTAAGCATTCGGTGGGCAGGAGCGTGGGCTGGCGCCTGGGTACGGGGCAGGCGTGCTCTCTGAGGTGACTGGGTGAGTTGTGAAGTGTGTGTGTGTGTGTACTGCCTTCTTTCACATGCATCCTCCTTCTGTGTCGCTAAGTGTCTCTCCGGCCACTCAGTTCTGGAAAGGGCACAGGGTGGAGCCGCTGGTTCCACGACACTAGGGGGAGGAAGAATCGTTCTGATCCACTTGCTTGACGCAGACAGAGGTACCTTGAGCCTTCTGCCCCTACACATCCCAGGGCAGGGACTAGGGCTAAGGTCTGCGGTGCAGGCGTAGGGATTGGGGGCAGAAGGAAACTGAGGACCCAGTGGAGCTAAGGGTTACAAGAGACGGATAAGGAGGGGGCTAGAGGAGGAAAAGGGTGGGGACATAGAAAGGACACAGGCAGGAGGGAGACTGTGAAGGGCTGCGAATGCCGGAGTGCTGCGACAAGAGCTTGTGGGGACTGGGGTAGGTAGGAGCCCTGGGGGCCAAGGAGGCAGAGGCCGCTGCCCAGGCGGCCATCTGGCAACAAGCCGGTTGGTAATCCGAGACCCTCGGAGCGCACCATCAGAGGATGGCCCCTCCGCGCCGCGGAAGGCGCTGCGAGCCTTCGCCGGGGGAACCTAGACCACGTTGGGGCCGAGGCCGGGTCCCCCCAGAGGCCAGCTAGGGGACTGCAAGCAAAGGGGCAGCGCTCCCGCCGTCCCTCCCCACCTCTCTCTGGCTGGGGACCGGCCAGAACTGATTCCCGAGCCCTGATTGGCTCTGGGAGGCGGCGCTGGGCCAGGTCCCGGGAGCTCGGGCTGGGGGCGTCTCCCCAGATGGCACCCACCGCCCCCAGGCTCTGCCAATCCCTGGGCACGTTCGGCAAACGCGCGGAGGCGGGGAGCCCCTGCCCCTCCTGCCGGTTAGCGTCACGCGTGACGTTACGCGTGATGGGTGGGAAGGCAGGAGCAGGGGCGCGGCGCCTAGAGGAAGGCGGGTCTGCGAGCTGCAGAGGCCAGAAACCCCGGAGCTCAAGAAACCGTGAGTGTCTGCTGTCCCGGGCGGGGTTCGGCGGTCAGGGGAGTAGGAGATGGGGGGCTAAGAGGGACGGAAGCCTGCCTTGAAGTGTGCTCCCTGTCCTCTCCGGACTCAGTATCTTTGGCTCTAGGAGTCCTTGGGGCGCGAGGGGAGGCTGCTTGCGGGGAGGAATGTCAGGGTGGGGCCTCATGGGGCTGTACATTCAGGTGTCTGACGCTGATGGCCATGGGTTGTGCGTGCATGTGTGAGCGTGCAGGTAACGGTCTTTGTGGGCTAGAGTATGTAGGGCGTGTCCTCCGTGTGTCTGTGTAGGGCATGTATGTATGTGTGTGGGTATGTTCGTGTGAATGCGCGGGAGAGGGGAGGGTGTGTCTTCCAGGGAGGGAGGAAGTGTGGTTGGAGAGGATTAGTCATATTGTAGGATTTTGCCTAACACGGCCAGATGCTGCTTCAGGTTTTCCTGGGTGGAGAGGGCACTTACTGAATCCTTTTGGGCCGTAGGTGTGTTGGGGAGAGGTGGATGGGTGTCTGGGTCAGCCCCGCCCAGCTGAGGAACAAGGAGGGCCTGGGGCCATTCAGTGTGGGTTGAGGAAGATGCCCGGGGAGAGGAGACTGGGGCGTGCCCACTAGCACGCATGCGTGACCGGCTTCAGCGTCCCTGACTTGAGATCTGGAATAGATAAGCCCCTGGGGTGGCCATTGAGCCCTTGCTCTCCTCCAATCAGGGGCTGGGGTTTTGGATGGCTTATGCCATCTTCCCCAAGAGCCTTGGAAGTTTGCATCTAGGTCTCCAGGCAGCTGGGCCCTAAAGCTGACATGAACATGGATATATATGTATTTTCGTGCGTAGAGAGCACGAGAGTAACTACACAGGATTAGCTGCTGCTCTTGCGTCAACCATACATGTGTCAGCCCTCTCTGGTGAAAATCTGCACCAGGCCAGAGTGCAAAGAAGTTCTGTTTTTCTGGTTCTGTTTTTCCCTGCCCCCTCCTCCGGTTGCTGCAAGTCTCGGAGGCAGAACATTGCCTGGAAAACAGCTCCTCCCCCCAACCCTGCTAACCTATCTGGAGTCACCTTGAGCTCTGGAAGGGATTGGTGAGCGGCCCAGGGACTAGGGCAGGGCCCACCAGAGGTACCCACAGGCAGAGCTCTTGGACTCCCTCCTTGGAGTCCTCCCAACGCTGGTGTTTGCCCTGCAGAAAATGGGTGAGTTGCCCTTGGATATCAATATCCAGGAACCTCGCTGGGACCAAAGCACTTTCCTGGGCAGATCCCGGCATTTCTTCACTGTCACTGACCCCCGAAATCTGCTGCTGTCTGGAGCACAGCTGGAAGCTTCCCGGAACATTGTGCAGAACTATAGGTAGACCACTACCCCGTCTGACCCTGTAGCCCAGACCCTCATTCCCTGCTATGACTACAGTACCTTTTGCATCTATCTCCCCAAGCTTGAGAGTGACCCTGCCCCACTCCTCAACCCTCTTCTTCCCTGGCCTTATGTGTTGGACTCACAGTTATGGCACAGAGCTTTAATCCAGAGAGTCTGAGGGTGTTTGGGTTGAAGAGGTGGCATGGATATTGGTGGGCAGGGGACTGCTGTCTATTTCATAAACCCTCTAAAGGGGCATGTCCCACTGCTAGGCCACCCTCTACAAGAACAGAGGGTCTCAAAGTGGAGCCCAGGGAGAAGGAGAGCATCCCCCTTGTTTCCAGGAGAAAAAGCCCCTGTGATGCCCCTAGCCATTTCAGTCCACTGGGAACCACAATCACCCATGACCAAGCACTGAGGCAGAAAGAGAAGGGGACCCCTCTCTGTGTGGCTACAAGGAAAACAGAAATAGGAACCTGCCTACTCTTCTGGGAAGATGTGGTTCTCCCACTGAGACAAGGAGCTCCTTTATTCTGAGATCGGGGGTCAAAGTTCCTGGTCCTCTGCCCAGACGTCCCCTGAGCTGAGTGGTCAGGCCTTACAGGGACAGATCTGCCACCTACAGTTACCTGTCTCCTCCCTGCCATTCTCTGCAGGGCTGGTGTGGTGACACCTGGGCTCACCGAGGACCAGCTGTGGAGGGCCAAGTATGTGTATGACTCGGCCTTCCATCCAGACACCGGGGAGAAGGTGGTCCTGATTGGCCGTATGTCGGCGCAGGTGCCCATGAACATGACCATCACTGGCTGCATGCTCACCTTCTACAGGCAGGTCCTGTCCCATGGGTCCCCTCCCTGAGGACTTTAGGCATGCCAGAGTGTAGCTTGATGACGAGGTGAGGCCGGGTGGGCTGAAAATAGTGAGTGGGTGAGAACTCGTGTTAGAATCCCAGACACCGTGCGGAACTCAGCCCCAGGCACCCACTCCCCACCCCAGAGACAGGGTTTGTGGTTGTGTAAGTGGGGCAGGTGGGGAGGGTCGTGCGGGGGTCACCAGAGCAAGTCCTAGGGTCCTCAGCTGGGCCCCTCCTGCCGGTTTGGGAATAATCTCTGGGGTTGCATTATCAGGAATTTGAGGATGAGGGACATCGTGGAGGGGGCAGAAGTAAGCGTCTTTTTTCCCTCAGGAAGACCCCGACAGTGGTGTTCTGGCAGTGGGTGAATCAGTCCTTCAATGCTGTTGTTAACTACTCCAACCGCAGTGGCGATGCTCCCATCACTGTGAGGTGAGAGCTCGTACCTAGCGACTCCGCC